GCATATATAAATATGCAGTTGTGTCCGATCGATCGGATGTGGCTGAAGCGTTTGGCTGTCTAGCCAGGTGACAATTTACGACCCCGTTCTGTAACGTTCTGTCATTTCCCGGCACCGAAAGCGGGTAACCGAGACTGATCTGAGCCTACATGTGCTCACGAAAAGCTGTATCTTCGGGGCGGAATACAGTACATCCGCGTTTCAATCCTCTGGAAGTTTTCCTAGTCGGCTAAACTATAATTGTGTTGTGCACCAAAATCCGTCAGCAAGACGAAGATCATTAAAGAACTCCAGCTGTCTCCTGAAATCGTATTCAGCTTCAATGAAGTTGCGGCCTTTGTTAGCGTACAGAGCCTTTCTCCAGAAGACCACAACGTGCTTATGCTTGTTGATTGTATTATTATTATGGCAACACTTATCCGTAGAGCACAGATGTGTGTTCGATTCTCTTCTGTGATTCTTTTTGCAAATAGGAGGATTCTTCATTTAGTTGTACCCTTAATGTGCACCCTCGCATTGTCCTAAACAAAAACCGCCCTTCAAACTTGTGATAGTGCCCCATTCTGGTCGGAACACCCAGCCTTGCTCATCTGCCGCTCCTATAGACAAGCGTCCAATTACTCTAAAAACCCTAGTTTGATCGGAGGAAATATTGACATGATTATTCTAGCATTGGTTGGAAGCCCCAAAGTCTACACAGGTGGCTGCGGTCATGCACCAGTTTGTTTGAGCGTACTCAATGTGTAACTCCATCGCGGAATTTATAGCATCCATGACTTCTGGTTGCCTTGGTTTAGTTCGTAACCAGCAGATGCTATATGTCCGCTCAAATGCAAGAGCATGCAGCTGTTGCGACAGGCACTGTAAAAAGTTTTTATCGTTGCAGCAGCCACACCTCAGGCAACCAAGGGAATTCGAGAGCTGGGAAATCGTGTGGGGGTTAGGTGTCGGAGCAAAAATGCCTTCAGAGAGCTCATTAAACCAGGAAAACTGATGTACAGGTTGAGTTGGGTATCGTTCAAAAAAGATCTAATTAGAACTAATCTGTTCCACGGAAAAACGCGTCTAAAGACCGTTCAGTGTATGAAAACATACACAATGCCGAAATTTCAGGCGGTCCACACTAGACCGTCCCACCTTGGCGTGTGGCTGACTTTCAGTTGGTGGATAGAAGGCGTAAATCGTCGTGCTTTCCAGGTCCAGTGGGGCTCCAGATGGTGTCGGTGAACGCTTGCGTCTTGTAAAGAGCCAAAAATTCAGCTGATGTGGCCCGTAGACAGCCTTCTTGCATCTTTCTTTGGGGCTGGTGCCACAGCCTTGGTGTACGGGGCTTCCGGAATGTCAACCGGTCCTCTTGATCAGTAATGAGCCTGAACTCACAGAGCCCTTCATTACTCAAGCTCAGAGAAACTTTTCTTCGCTGTCTAGCTTTCAAGTACTCCGGAAAGCCAAGGTATCTTAGCCTCGAGACAAACTACTAACTATCCTTTCGAATGCAAAACCGGGTCGAATGAAGTCATTTTCTGGGAAGATGAGGGGGTCTATGGATTGTGTGGTGGAAACTATGATGCCGAGATCCCATCCGCTTAGAGCAGCGCATTATCGACTGACCATCAATTTAAGTGCCACATTGACGTCTCGGCATCAGACCACTTGGGGTGCTTGAACTTCCGGAGACCCTCTACAGACCTAACCGCCGTACACTACCATGGTGCAAGTACGTGCGCTGGCGTGTCGAGGGTTCTGTCCTGGTTATACAGACAGATTGTGTGATCCATCTGGGTGGCAAAACACGAGCAGTGCCTTGGTACCTTGACCAGGTGACTACGTGGTCAAAGGCCACCGTGATTAACTCCCCATTTGCCCTAAGGAAGTGCAACGCCCGAGCTCTATAAACCCTAAGTGCCTTTGTGCAGCACTTTTTTTGTCCAACTGTTGGGTCGCGGCAAAGTCCTTCTTATATTAAAGCAAACCCTGCACCAAGTATGTATTTGAACTACCGTAGAACATACTTTTTGGATGCAGAGTGCCTAACAGCAACTTCTGGAAACAGAAATAGAATGTAATCCCTCCGACTATAGTATAAGTGGACAGGGCTTAGCGTATCACCGTTTAATATACTGAAATTGTAGTAGCAACTGTGTAATGAGACAGCTCAAGTTCTAGGCTGTAATAGACATGGCTTCTGTGGGTTGAAAGTTCTCAGAGTAAGCATCTTTTCGTGGAGCCGCGGAGACCCGTAATGGCTCCGTCATTACTGTTTCACATCAGCTGGACCCTGTTGATTCCCTTTTGTTCAACAGGATGGTGCAAGCGAATGGATTAAAAACTTGTAAACTAAAAACCACCGGTATCGTGTTCACTCAGCTCGTTACCGGTGTGCCAGAGCGAAATCGTCTGAGCCTCGCCGGTCGGAGTGTTGGTTAGCAGCTTGAAGCTGGAGGTACAAAAGAAAAGGGCCAGATTATCACACTTACGTGCCCTATTGGTCTCTCTCGTCCACATTAGTGCCATTTATCAAGGTAAAATGTGCGGGAGTTGAAGAGGCGTATATGTGAGTGATAACTTAAGAACAATTAGAATCACAATTGTCCATTATCGGTTCCCAGCGGGGAATTCAAAGAGCTATTTAAAGTATGTGTGATAGCGTTCCTCCCTATTACTTGATATAATCAACCGCGGACTCAATATATAATTAAAATGAATGAATTTTATGAGCTCGAATGTCGATTCATCCCGTGAAGCAACGGTGGATAGCTGTCATTTCGCTTTTGCGTTCCCACTAGTCGTTAGTAATATGACTTACACCCGTTTATTATGGCGCCATTTTGTTACCTTGCCGCATATTCCCCTCGTTTCGCTTCTACTTAAGGTAGGCTATTCTTTAGTGACTGATATCAATGTTTTGTTGTCCGTCCGTAAATGGTTGCAGATTCTACCTATTTTCGATTGAACCCAGAGCTCCCCGACAGGAAGGCAACATGCTGTTCATCGCACCAAACAGAAAGGGCAATTTTTGTATTACATATATAACCCAACTGCCCGATAGGCGTTGGCGCGATTTGTTTTAGGCGAACCTAACCATGCAATCCTATTTGTTACGTAAAGCGGGCTGCCACATCGCGCCGTCAACCAAAGACAATCCCTTACCTTCTGAACGTTTTGATTGATTTTTGCGCCGTTATCTTTATGTACAGTTAACCCACATTTACACTGTCTGTATTTGTACATTTCTATATCGCTTGGTGCTTACTTGCGTTTGCTCCCACAAATCCCTACTGTTTCGCCGGCTATTTCTGCTCTGGCTGATTGCACCATCATTGATTGTAATTTTGCTTGATTATTGATGCTCACTTACCCGTTTGCATATGGAACCAGTTCCTGACGGTGCTCAATACACCATCTGCTGCCATCGTTCATCTGTTCTTATTGTATGCTGGATACGAACTGCTTATAATGAGAGGGCAGGAAATCGTCCTGTGAGTTCTTTAGCTACCCGGATCGCACACTGAACCTACCTTCATGGTAGATTCAGTTAATTACACCGAAGGCGACTTTGGATGAGGGCTACGTGGCGCACATAGTTTTCACAAACGATGCAATGTTAAGATACTTCAGGGCAGGCAAGTTAGGGTATGGGTCACTGCGGCTGCCAATCCCGCACTTTGTGCCCGCACGATTTTGACTGTATCTCAGGGTGTTCGTATACTTGGCGCTTCCTAATGTCCTTGCTTCCAAATTCAACTTAACTGAAGTCACCTTTACCGTCCTTCGCCACATATAAAGATAATGATCTAGGTATGTCTGTTTACATAAGTCCCAATACCCCGATGTGCCTTCGGCTCTTCGAAAAACGAGATTTTCTAACCATATATTGGAAAGACTACATTCAGCTAAACTGTTTGCGAAATGCTGGACACGCTATTAATTGTGGCAGTTTTGGGTACCCCTTATTAATCCACCATATCTTGGGACAAACTTGTGAAACGTACCCTGGGGCATATCGATCTTACTTGAAACATAATTTGAATATGTATTGTACACTTTTGTTACGGTTTATTTAAGCTAGCTGCGTGGTTTGTTTGGTTTTTGTTTTCAGCACTGCCTCCGACCGCGGCGCGACCGAGCCATCCAGATCTTTCCCTATTATGGAGTGGAACAAGAATCCCCACGTTAATTTTTGTCTTTAAGCTCCCTCATTCCCGCCTCTCCAGAACGACGTTGGATTATATCATTCATCACGCCACGCATGCCTGCCTATAAATCCTGAAGACTATGTGGTCGTCTGTTTTACTTTTGCATAAACCCTCCAAATCACTGCTAATCATCCAACATATCCATCTGGTCCAGTATAACAAGCAACTCAAGAAGTTTGACGAAAAACCGCTAGAAAAACGTGATATTTTTACGGCTTTCTTTGTTCGATCACTGATGTCTTCTGAATATTTCTTCACGGGAGCCACAGTGGCCTCATTAATGGCTTTTCTATACCTGTAGAATTTTCCATCCCATTCTGTTCACCATACAATTAACGGATAACTGCCACGGGCAACCATTTTAATTTTATTTTCATACGTTCATGACGCCGAGGTGAAGTTTTTTATTCTTACGAACTGTATCTTTGTACAAGTGACCCCCAGAATCATAAGTGCCAGCCTCCCGCATAAAACTTACGAGCGCTTAGTTGATAAGGCCAGTCGTGCTCTAACTTGAATCCTCGTGATGTTTTATCCCTCTCTCTTTGTCCCTCCGTAGCAGCTAGCCATGTTCTTCATTAGATTGCTTCCTATTCCTTTGCAGGTTCGAATGCCCATGAATCAAAGCGTACTCCCTTGTAGATTTTTGCTCCCATTACCGTGAGCCTGATGAAATCCTCCTTGAACGGTGGAGATGAACTACTTTATATCAAACTGTTTGCACGAGGTTGATAACCTACGGTACAAACGGACACAAATCTTCGTGTCATGGTCATCCCACTGTTACCCCCCCAACTTAGCCAATTAAACTAATAAGTCTACCGTAATTGGCTCCGGTCGTAGGTCATACACTACCGCGCGAAATGAATCGCCTCGTTTGTCGGCGGGTGGTATCCCTTTGGCATTGTTCGACGTTGTAGATCCAGACTCTTCGTACGCCGCCGTCATATTGAATACATCCGTGAGATGCCAATCAAAAGGGGCCATGTTGCACCACAAAATACGTATATCGTCACCCTAATTCGGAGCTTTGATCCTCAAAGTAGGTTTTGAATCAAGTTGTCTCAGTTCCAGGCAACAATTTCCTGGCGGCAAACGCGATGTTTCCGACAAAGCCAATTATTTATTGCAGCGATGGTCTTTGCCACCTTTTGGGTTTCACGAAGGCGGAGCTTATGCTAAAATCGGCTGTCTTGACCATCCTTCATGGTGTGGAAACCACTACCACTTCCGTTGAGTCTTTGTGTACCGCCCTTCAAGAAACTAATGAAACAGAAATTCCCATTCGCTTATATTCTAAAGCTGGTGAGTCCCACAGCCTGCGGCGAATATTCCCATGACCAGGTTGTCCAATCCCTTGTAGGGTTGCTGTGACGCCCGTCAGAGATGAGACCGGACAATTACCACTGTATATACTCTTCTTTCGCCGTGATGAAGGCGGGGCTCCAACTTTTGACACTTTTACCAAAAGTATGTTGTCAGTTTTTTAACCGCTTACCCCAGGGTCGAGCCTGCGTGCTCGTTTTCAGCTGAAGCCGTTCCGTTCCAACCGTGGTTCAAAGGATCTCCCTAAAAGACCACGCAATACTGGACCGGAGTGTAGGCTCTTTTCTTACTTTACACCTATCACTTCGCAAGGTTCATTGTTAGTGGAGAACTTGTCAGGCCACCAGGGACAATACTGTGGCTCCTCTGGTTACCAAGCCGATCCAGAATCTATCGGTGAGTCTTTTCATATATTCTTGCGTTGCAACTAAGCTGGAGACTGCAGAAGATGCAAATAATGGTCTTTGTCTTTCGCATAAACATTCTGGCATGTTCACGAAAAAGCAAGTTGGTTAATATCATCTGGGATACCGTCCCTAGATTGATATCCATCTGATGGTGTAAACTGCAGGGAAGACAAATGGAAACAAGACTTGAAAAGTAACAGCTATGGACAGATGGTGGCGGGGCAGGTGTTTTATGAATTTGGCCAGCGTAAACGTGTTTAACTGGATGCTGTGTGACTGGATCAGACGACGCAACATGCTTTTGACAGTATGGTGCTTGATATTCGTAGTTGATCTCCGTGTTGTCAAATAACGCCGCTACATCTGTGTTGACAGGTTATGTTGATACGTAGCAGATCACGTGACTGGCATAAGTATTGCGTGCAATGACCAACTACTTGGTCGTTTTATTGCACCTTCCAGTATTCCGGATTGCCCTGTTCTGCGCTCCGCATAGTTTCCTGAAAAACAGTAAGGAAAAGAATGGACAACCATAAAGTCAGAAAGATTTAGGCTAAGCCCGTTCTAATGTGGCAGTTGATCGTAGATCTAGTCATTTTGTCTGCTTGGAGCTCAGTGACCTATTAACAAGATCCTGAAAACGAATACATCCGGAATTTGTTTTTCAGTATACTTGTTTTCCTCCACCATAATGACTGCATTCTTTAACCAGGCAATCATTTGCGATAGTTTATATTCTGTAATTTTGAACCACTTCAGCAGACCCTTACTACATTGTCAAGCTTGGTGGTTACTTAGGATGTACACTGATTCTCCTTATAAGCTCCCCCCATGAGATGCGATTGTCAACCCAGGGCACTTCAGTATGGATTGAATTTGATGTGTTTTGGGATACCATCGTTAGACCTCCATGCCGGGCCCTTCTGGTTGTTCGGGAACTTCGGTGTCCTCTATATGAGGCGAAAAGTCCAAAACCTTTGTAACTTTCCGGCATCGGTTTCATATTGGACCACTCATGTTGCACACATGTGTGCTGCAGAGTCAACTGTGGATCTTAAAACCTGTTAAATAATTGTGCCTGACTAGTGCTCCATTGGAAGACCACTCAAAATATGTTCTAAGTGATCATGTATCCGGAACGTCATCGGTCCACCAGTATGTGCTGTTCACGTAGAAATTTCGTATCATAGGCACTCGAGAAAAGAATCTCTCTGTTTTACGGTCATATCTTAATGAGGGATGAAGACTCATCTGTATGTGACCCCCGTTAGATCGCATACGTTCGATAACTGGGTGTTCGCGAAAAATTTGAAAGTCGAGGTAGTTTTCAATGCTAATCCAAACCATTTTTGGTTATCGTTGAGTAATGTGGAGGTGGTTTTGCTGGCGATGTCACTTACTTTTTTGTCGTTAACACCCTTAATGTTTGTTATAGTCCGGCTCTATATTTCCTTTCTTCTTCTGTTCAGTTACTTTTATCATGAAACTCCAAAGAAGTCCATTTGGCTGTACAAAAGTCATTCGCTAACGCTTTGCATTGGTGTTGGGTGATGATAGTGACACCTGTGTACGAATTCCGGGTTTTACCCCTTAAGCGCCTTTCAGTTGCGATACTTCTTGAAGTTTCCGTGCTATGTTAGATTCCTCAGCGTTAATTGCACATCAGCACCGCTATTTGATTAATCCCGGGACATTAGTAGCCACGATACTAAATGTGTGGTCAGTATCGGGTGGCGGGAATCAGTTAGCATTCGTTCCTCACAGGTGTCGTCTGATGATATGACTAGTGGTCACCCGATCGAACAAGTTAATCATCATCATCATCATCACGATCATGATCATCATCACCATCATCATCGACAGCATGACATCAGTGTTCAACACCTATGCTTCACTGATAAGAGAAGTTGAACAGTTCAGTAATTCGTCACTGTTTTCGCCTTTCACAGAGATTCCTCTGCTAGCATGCACGACGTCTGGATTTTTGACACATTTGTCCTGAAAGTGGTGGCCAAGGTATTCAGTCTGTGGAGCCGGACTTCTTTCAAGGTGTTTTACTGGAGGTAGTTGAGTCAGTTTCGAGGGATGGAACAAAGGTGCATTCACTTTACTGTCCCTACTTTTGCGGAAGTTTCAGTAGCTACTTGTCCAACATGAGGCGCTTTGGTTTTCAGTTTATTCACTTCCAAATAGAGTAATCATCCAGCCTTGGTGAGTCCAAAGCGGATATCCTTATTGATTAGACCAGTCATAATGCTGGTTTATGTTGAGGATGATGACGCTGACTTGGGTAGACTCACTTGCCTTGTGTCTGCGAACAATACACCTGGATTCGAACCATAACTGCATTCTTATATGCAGATGGATGGTTTGTAATGGTATTGTATATCCATGTATATGAGAATATCTGTGCAATTAAGTGCGTCAGTCACAATAAGCAGCTGCCTCCAGGCGTCCTTACGATCCTGCTGCTTCTGCGTGATGTGTTGTACAGTTCTGCGTTGTACAGCCCAACAATATTATTGAGATCAAGGCGATGTTTCTTTTATTAGCTCGCAACTCATCTCCCACACAAATACCAGTTTTGGAGGTTCATTCCGGTTACACTAAGAATGGTGCTTCTTATAATTTGGTGTAGAGACTTTTGTGCAGGTAGATAGTTTCTACATTGCAAGTGTCATAAGCCAGGTCTAGAATAATACGTCATTAGCTTCGGCGATTTATTGTGTTTTTAACCTGTCATTTAAATTGAAGCACTAGTATTCGGCCGTACTACCGTCAACAGGGTCCGCTCAAGGGCTCAGGACAGCTCAGCGAATATGACACGAGACCAGTGACCGGAAAGTTCGTGGTTCGAACCAAATCCGGGATTCCCAATTACTGCTGTCTGGGCTTGAAAAACCAGACGGAAGTTGTCATTATGTTTCCTTTTGATAGCTCGGTATCTATGCACCAAAATGGTGCGACAGCTGAACCACTACTCTAATTACACCTTCAAGACTAAGCAGCCCCCAGCCCAGATCGTTGGGGCCGTTCTTCTTGGGCTGCTGTAATTTTTAGGCTTTGGGGTGGAGTCTCTCAGCTTAGACCACTTGACCCTGGTACATCTACACATCAATGGTGGCTTTAACTTGGGTTCTGAAGTTGAGGTATTTTCGATTCTCATTCTCTTGTTATTCAGCTATGGCCGTTCATGTGAGAATATGACGTCCGTCTTAGCCTGTCTACGTATATGCCATCGGGCTGTATTCATTTTATGCTCATTTATTAGTTTGCATTGCTCAGGATCCACCTTCTGCTTGTACAAGGGTATTCCAGACTAGAACTGAGTGGAGCAGTGGCAATTATTAAGGTGTAATCTATAGCTGTTGAGCCCACTGTCTCGTCTTCAGAGTGAAACCCCGCCGACGACCTCATTAACAGCATAAGCTGTCGAGGCAGTCCAAGTCAAGTAAAGGTTTATTTACCATAAGGTGAATTTTCAGTCTACTAATTTGCAACAGTATCGCGGCGAAGAAGCATAAGGGTTTCGAACAAAAGGTGGTGATGAATATTACGTTTATTTGTTTGTTTCTTTCAGTTGTAGCACGCTTTCGGTGCCTAGCTACCTTGCCACCCGATGGAGGCACGATGACCGAGGGGTTGCGGAAACCAACCAAGGAGCATCTGAAATGCAGAGGTTGGGTTCGAACCACGGGCCTTCCGGTTACTAAGTTGGTCCCCTTAAGCATGATCTGGGAACTTTCGGTCCTAGCTACCTTGCCACCCGATGGAGGCACGATGACCGAGGGGTTGCGGAAACCTACAAAGGAGCATCTGAAATGCAGAGGTTGGGTTCGAACCACGGGCCTTCCGGTTACTAAGTTGGTCCCCTTAAGCATGATCTGGGAATCGATGTAACAAAACCCCAATTCAGTTAAGCTGTAAGCAATAAGCTTTCGAGTTGGAAAGTATGCCTACCTTAAAAGTCCCACAAATGTATTGCGTAAAAAACAGATCAAATGGACACAACGCCTCCCAACTGAACGTGATAAATGCCAGGTTTTACTGAGGACAAGGCCGTGACTTTTCGGTATCTCACTGTGCTTTCCTATGGCAGTCAGTTATCCTTACGTTAACGTCTTATGGTCTGGTAAGCAGATGTTTTAAATGTTAGCAAAGGGTTGGTTATCAGTTATTTCAAGTGCCCATTACCATCTGGATTCAATTTTCCGCGAACGGCCTACAAACATTTAATTTTCCTCATGTATAAGCAAGGTAGCTTTTCACGGTTTTTCGCCTTTTACAACCTGGGGTTGTTCTGAAGATATCCCGATGGAAAACTAAGAATATCTTTTAATAATTCTCAGTATACATCGGCAAGGGTGGTCTGAAGGTATCCTAGTGTTGAGTTAATGTTTACCAACAGGGCGTCCGGACATTGAATTCAAACTTCCATTTCATTTCGATATACTTATAAGCAGATTAATGATTCCCAGCGAAATGGTTTGGAATTACTATCATGACACCTTCAGTACTGTATAGGATGACACAGAAAAGGCAGCGTGCTATCGGACAAATTAAACGGGAAAATGTTATGCAGTTCAAAGTGAGACAGAATGCTCAACAGCAAACCCGGAAATGAATGTAAATAAATCGAGTCGTAAAAACAGATAACATAGAAAAACAGTTAATATAGAGTAGATTTTGTATAAAATAGGATAGTTCAATCTTGAAACTTGAACAGTCACCGGAAGGGTAATGAATTAATCTGGGGAGTAGGGGGACATGAATAACTACGTCATGTAGTTAACAATGTGGATGTCCTAACATAAGAAGGGCTAGTATTTATGTCCCCACTGAAGAGTGTGGTGGAAATTACTCTGAAGCGGGCTTTTCATCATTAATTGTCTTCTACTCATCATCATCATCAAAGACGGCAACATCAGTGTTGGCACTGATGCATCACTGCTGTACAACCATAAGGTTCGTCTAGTTATATATATATATATAATGTTTGGTGATAAATAGAACCATCATAACTGCTCTGCTTTTCCACGTCATTAGAGCCGAAAACAAAAACTTATGTACTAGCTTGTCTGATGTTTTTGTGACCAACTGGCTGATTCTTTTCACTGAAGGCGAATTTGTAACCCCATAACTGTTAGCCGAACACCCCATGTACATGATAACAATTTCCGTGGTCTCACAAAATTAACCGTGTTCTGCAGTCGCTTGCGCTCAAATTTATTCGTTTTGATTTTCTTTGATCTGTTACCGTACCAAAAGATTTTCCTCATAAGCGGAAACATTTGTTTTGGGATGGAGTCAGTCTTTTAATGTGCCCCATAGACCCCAATAAAAAATGAGGTTAGTCGATGTCTGCAAACGTAAAATATGGGTGAACAATGAATGCTTGTGATGAAAGCACTTTTGCCGACAGAAAACAGGTGTACAATGATGCCCTTTGGTAGAACAGTTGTGGCTCAACTGTTACTTCCTGGTCTTTTCACCAGATTCCCGCTTGATGTTGGATTGTGTGGATTGTTAAAGGCGTGTTTGCGTTGAAGTTACTTGAGTGGAACTACATGTAGACATTTTTTCTGAATGCATTATGCGAAATGGGGCGGATGCTTTTGGTGTTAGGTAACGACCGCCTTATACTCAGATGTTTGCAGGGAGTTGGGCGTTCAGGGCGTTGAAAAAGTGTTATGAAATTAAGCGTTTGATTCTAACGTTGTGTTTTGGCCCACAAAAGCGACAAAAAGTTGCATGAAGTTACAACGCTGGCATTTAGCTAGTTTGTAGTCTGTGGCGGTGAATGGTCCGGCGAATCGATGTGCCAGTTCGCCAGCAGGTTGACAACTGCTGGCTGTATGAAACCGGTCAACAGTGGTCAACAGTCGGGAAATATAAACCATGGGATCACCTGCAAGATCTGTGTACACCTTTTTCATAAAGGAAACTACTCACAAGGTTGCTGAAAACTCTTCGACAGCTCACAACCGGTTTCGCCCTTCTTGGGGCTCATCAGGTAGGCGCAGTCCCCGAGTTTCCGTCAACCTTATGTTCTACTTGAACCCAAATTGGGCTGTTTTCGAGAAATACACTCATTTGCAAATCAATTTGATTTTCACGAGAGACTTAACTGAATCTCTCGTTTATGATATTAGTAGTTTCCTTCATGAAAATATCTGCGATATCTCGAATGTTGTGCCAACTGAATCATGAGGCGGGCTGTGTGCAGCACATTCAGTTGTAGAATATCATAAACGAGAGATTCAGTTGAGTCTCTCGTGAAAACGAAATTGATTTGCAAATGAGTGTATCTCTGTACGCCCATTTTATGAGTCCCACTAATAGCGAAAGGTCTGTCGTGACAGTTCCGCGGTAACCGACAATTTGTACACACTAAGATTCACAACATTTGACAGAAGTTTCATGGACCAGCTAAAATTGTTTCATCTGATTGGATCGTCCTTCTGTGTGGCACAACTGCATTTTTTCACCTTTCAGAACCGCTTAGAATCTCTGCTTCGATGTTGATTGTTTTTGCTGCTGATGCTCGACAAAACGCTATTTACGGAGTTGGTTTGTGGTTTCGCATGCGTAAATTTCCCAGACATGCCATTTGAGAGCCTCTTTATTGGTATCCGTATCACACTTCCTTACTCTAAATTAATGTTCTCCTCTTAATGCATACGGACGAAAAGTCACTGGTTTATTTTTACGTTAGTCGAGCTGTATGCTTCATTTTGGGTTAGGTATTGCAATTTCTATCCCTCTGCCTTAACAGAATATGACAGGGCTGCTTGCATATGGAATGGAGGATATGCTACATTGTACTGAAACGTACTGAAAACACAAAACCAGTGGCATTGCACATTCTGGGAGCATGCCAACCAACCGCATACCGCATCCTAATTTTTAGGTGAATGCAAACATCAGCATTTCTAGGGCAGTTTGAAACTATTCAACTGAGCGACTGGGAACACTACAGAGCTGCCAATTTTTGAACAGCTCATCCCCATAATATATACCATTCTAACAGCCAGGTGGTCCTACCTTTTTGAAGGTTAAAGGAAGCAGCCATCTTTCGTTACTTTCGCGCAAGAGAAACCTGATTGACAGTCATCTCACCTGAACAACCGATTGAATTAGTGTTCGTAAGTGGTGTATCCACATCGGACGTCTTAGCGCGTGGTTCATCCGTCACCAGCTGTTATGCTAATCCAGAACATATATGGTTACTGCTAATCGACTGGTGAGTGCGTTCTCTTGTGGACGGAGGGACGTCCCAAATCATGGCTACCAGGCATGGCCCTTTCGGCCAACAAAATGTTCAGGTATTTATGGTCACATCGTAATCTTGAGGAAAAAACATCATAGAGATGGGAATTTTGGCCTCATTGGACATACATAAAACTGTCGAATTCCCTAGAGCGGGTTCACTCACTTTTTATGGACTGATAAGCAAAGAAACGAATATTTTGGACAGTATGTAGCAGCCCAAAACGATACTTCAGGTGAGGGCAGAATGAGGCTTATAAACTAGTGTTTCTTTAGAATGTTTCCCATGGGAATCTTTTTAACCGTGTGTTGTGTGCGGAGATAGGATTTTGTAGCTAGTTTTTTGGTATCACAGCTGAATGAACTGCTGTGGAAAGAAAATAAAGTGGAAAAAACAAAATTGATTCTGTACGTTCTTCCACCCTCCAGAGAGAGCGTGAGCACTTACGGAAAAAGACCATTTTTAGCGTTTCTCCAAGGAAGAAAATGCTATAAGGACTCACTGCTTAACTGTTTTTGATTCCGCATCGTTGGTGCGGATCCGCGAGGGCATGCTACAACATTCATTGTAGTCTTAATTTTTTGCTCAACAACTGGAGTTGATTGATTTGCCATTCTCTCGATGCATATTGGTGAGATTCCTGTCTAGTTCATGAGTTTGGATCAATTCACAGAGGTTCATTTCGCTGAAGTAAGTCTATCAACAATTCACCTCGTGGTCACCTGATCCGATTCACTGTTCCCACATCAGCTCATTGTCTGGTCTCCGCTTTTGACAAAAAAAACAGCAGACGCTGCCTTAGACAGTCTAACAGGCGTCATTGGTGGGATAGCCCACCGTCTGCGGAAAAAAATCCGTGGCTTTCTAGCTGCTGATATTAACGTCTTTAAGAGGCTTTGCAATTTTCTTCCCACGACTGGTTGTATACTAGCTTCAGCAGACGCGCCTTAGACAGTCTAACAGGCGTCATTGGTGGGATAGCCCACCGTCTGCGGAAAAAAATCCGTGGCTTTCTAGCTGCTGATATTAACGTCTTTAAGAGGCTTTGCAATTTTCTTCCCACGACTGGTTGTATACTAGCTTACTGCTATTGATCATCTGGGTTGCAGAAGTGTCCGATAATCTGGCTGATGTACCATCCAGTTCAGTCGAAGGAAGTTCCACAGATAGTTCCGGAGAAAAACCTGCTCCACAACACGATGCGAAATCAGGCGTTCTACGACAGGCTACAAAGCGCCCACTTTCTCTACTTACCTCACATAAACCGAAGGCTCCGGACTCGAGATCAGAGCATGATATCTCTCCACGCCAGGCCACACAAACGGGAGACTGTTCACCAACAAGACGTCGACCAGCGACCTGGTATCATTCCCGAGCCGGCAGTGCAGACTCTCTGGTTATAAACCACTCGTCGGGCGCTCAGAAACGCACTGGGGCTTATGGAAATTTGGCCGAATCAGAAGCATTGCGTCTGGTATTAAGTAGTCATCCTGAACCTACCAAGGCATCTGTGACCGAAAAATTTGCACAGGTAAGTCTCCACCTTATTCTGGATAAATGGGACTGAAAGATACATACGTGGAGTTTTAGACAGTTTTTTCTGCGCCATGAATCGTTTTTCAGTTTCCATGTGCAATAATTCATGAGTTGAGTAATCCTCAGTCTGCACAGAACGAGCGTTCAGCTGTCTGAACTGGTACCTTGATCGCTTCATTCATGCATGTGGCCACATAACCCAAGTAAATCCATTCCTGCCGGTTGGTGATAATATTTCCGTGGAATGGCAGCAGAATTGCCCGTCCCAGCGAGTTCGAGATATCTTGGCAGTTAAGACGCAAAACCACGACGCGAAGGATCCGTAGTTCGGACTCAACCCTTGCTTTTCGATTCCTCCTGTCTGGACTTTCGCAACGGGGTAGTATTTTAGCATGTGTGCATCCTTCGAGTTGCCCGGCAGCTGCGAGTTGGAAGGATGCCATTGCTCAGTGATCACTATTATTTATTTCCCAGCGAATATTATGCAGTCATACAGTAATTACATCTGTCCTTTCCTAGAAGGGATATTCCACATAATATGGGGAACGGCTGGTACCACCATTATCGACAGCGCAGCATCAGTGTTCAGCACTGGTGGCTCTGCCTTATCGTGAATGAAAGAATAAAATTGGATGGGGAAGGGAATTAGTACTGGGATACCAAAATCACTCCGAGGTGCCTACACCTTCAGAAACTCATTCAAACAGTCTGGATAGAGACTGGCAAGGCCATTGATAACGTTATCAGCTATGTCTCTAGTCATACACAGAAGGGATCTTGCTGACCCGGTCTGTCCAATGTGCACAGTCAGATAGAAGCATAGATGAAAATCAGTCAATCAGTCCTTTTCGTTTGCATCAATAACCATCCAGTGACCGTATTTCCAGCAAGTATTGTGTTCATCTGCATCCGGGGTTTCCGGATTAGCCCTAGGATGTTGTTTGGAGTATTTAAGTGATATACAGTGCAGTCGCCCTTTCTAACTGTAACTTTTTAATATCCTTCCCTTCTCTCTGCGGTTGTTGTGCCTCAGCTGGGTACGCGCAACTCCTCGCCCGAGAGAGACGTCTCTTTAGCAATCGATGAGGAAAGCGCGTTGTTTTTATCGTTCAGTTGCGTGTTCAGGCAGGAAATAAAAACGAAAACGGTAGCGATATGCTGAGTTTCCATTCATATTGTGAACATAGTCCCATGAGGTTTCTCGTAAATGATTCTGACATAAATACTGAATGAAAACAGCTGATTTTTCGAAGGTAACGGAGATGTGCTCGTTGGTTTCTTTTACTGGGAAACTCTAAGGAATTAGCCGTCTCCGACGACACAAAACTCCTAAAAAATTTGACTGGGTTGTTTCTAGTCATTTGAAACACCGAAATCTTGCACTTATCAATCAGGTGTGCTTTTTGGAAGAACTCAAGCCTCAGGGGACCTATAAATTTGGTAATGTGGTGAAATATTGGTAGCTCGGGTGAGTTTGTTTATTATAGGTCGTTGATCAGATGGCTGTTGATCTGTTCGCCGAGCCTGGCAATTGGCTTGCAAACGTTTCGTCACCATACGAGGAGACATCATCAGTGCGCAGTTGGTGATGTGCGCGCTGATGATGTCTCCTCGTATGGTGACGAAACGTTTGCAAGCCAATTGCCAGGCTCGGCGAACAGATCAACAGCCATCTGATCAACGACCTATAAACTTATTGAAACATAGCATCCGGGGTCTGTATCCACGAAACTGTCTTAGCGTCATACGGGTGGTACGAATATTGCGTCTAACGTTTCTTTTTTTTAATGTCCATCACCAACTGAACTCGTTTGGTGAGCAATCGACCGATTTGAGTGATTATTCAAAAGATGGCTCCTTATTTCTTCGTTTATTTTACATGCTGATCTACTTCGCTTTTCTGCTTTCAGTTTCTATCCATGGATGAAGACTTGCACGTGGAACACCGGTTTCAATCTCCCCATATGCATAAGTTCACTCTGAAGCACTATAGCATGTTCAAAGCTATCTGGGATTGGATAATACTGGTTATGATCATCTATACAGCGATAGCCACCCCGTTTGTAACAGTTTTTCTGACGAACAAGTACTCGAACAAGTATTCACAAATCACATCGGTAGGTAGTGTTGTGTTATCATTCCCACCAGTTTGTCAGACTTGTTTACATCAACTCTATCGGACCTCATGCGCTTTATTTTTCTGACGGTGGTTTTTATGTATATGTGTGTAGTTCTCTTCTCATTGTGTAGAGGTTAGGACATCCTCAACTCCATTTTTCTGGACCAAACAACATTTGCTGCACCTCAGTGAAACGGTTAACTCTGCTTTAGGTTTTGATGGCCAGTGGACAGATGAATAAAAGGAAAATGTGCCGATATGCACTCTTCCTACCATAAAAGGCAGGCAACTCTATAATTGATTTCCATGGGTAGTATGAACAGACTTCTAGAGAATTCTCCGGGCATTGTAAAATCTCTACGGGTAGACGAGGACGTGAACTCTGGTGCTTGGCGCTTGAATCCTGTGCAAAATATGGCTTCAAGTCTGTGGTTTTTAAGTAGCCTTGTCCTAATTTACAGTTCTTTCCCTGTTCCACTATGCGATCAGTTAAGATTGATGATGATGCCAATGATGATAATAATGTTCACACGAAATTTTTTCGGACTGTGATTATTTTTCACTTATTACTGAAGAAACTAGGTAAACCATATAGGGCTATGGGTTTTGTACTGTTAGTGATCAGAACACTCGGACAGGCGGTTTTCCCTTTTATCGAGGTTTGTGTGACGCAAGTTCAGTTACTGTGCAGCTGTAACTGCACAGCTGTTTCAGTGTGTACGAATGAGGCGGAAAGTGGTCATTTGTAGTCAGTTGGTGCGTTTGTGTTTTCTAACATTGCCTAGGCATCAGCATGTAGTGTCGGTCTCTCCGCACGTTGCTTTTATGATCCAATTAAGGCAAACCAGCTGTTCACCTTGTTGATTTGCATCGAATGGTGAATGTTCACCGAACAATGGCTTCATTGTGAGACTTTTCTGCGAAGATACCCGCAATATGGTGATAATTTCGAAGGATGAGATGAGTGGCGGTTTTTTAAGTACGTGTTACGATGCTTCTCCATTACACCTCAAACAGTGTTTTGTCGTCTGCACACGGATTTTGGATCATAATAAAGTTGGATTTCAAGTAGCTTCGTGGTTGTACGATATTTTTTACCAATCATCATCATTGTCAGCTGTAATAATCGCGTACTTGTCGTATGGTGGTTGTGACTGTCACAGTTTCGTTCACCGATGATTCGGGGAGGTGGGATAGGTAGCTGCGCATTGGATGCGGGAGCTGTGTTGGAAGGTTTTTCGTTCCTTCGCATTTTTTCCCAAATGAGCAATTTCCAAGTCTGATGAACAATTTTCGTTCGACGCCGACAAAAATCTGTTGGGGTTACGTGTGCACTTTATGCCATTGACTTGTCGGAACGAACTGAAGTGCATTCGTTTTGAGGAACGAATATGTGCAAGTTAACCCCTGAAGTAAAGGTGTTCTTATTAGATTATTATTCCCACCTCCTAACTGTTAGTTAGATGTGAGAAAATTCCGGTGTTTGACCGCAACGACCTGGCTGCAATCAAGTATTTTCGTTTTACTAGAGCAGCTAGACTCCCTTAACTCTGATGTGTAGGTCTGCTTTGCTGTATTAGATATGCCTTTCGTACATTTTTCAGTCTCGAATGAATCAGACGACAGAAAAGACTGATGCGGACAATTTCCACCTGCTTGGAATTGAAATCCTGGTGGACATTATGTTCCTTGTGGATATTCTGATCAATTTCCGTACAACCTATGTGAACAAAAACGACGAGGTTGTGTCCCATCCCAGACGCATTGCTACGCATTATTTGAAGGGTTGGTTCTTCGTTGATTTGGTCGCGGCTATACCATTCGATCTGGTATTCATCAATCTCAAGGATAAAGTAAGTGCGTTTGGTTGCCCCCTTGGTGTTTTGGTAATTGACTTCTTTTTTTCTGTCGACTAGTTTCCGAATCTACGGTTGTGAGGTATTTCTAATCGGTGGTTCCTGCTGTTTTCGTCTGCGAACCATTGCAGAAGAATTCGCCTGTTCCTCCCGAATGCTCACTCTCGGAACAAGTCGAATGCAATGCCCTTGTCCTATTTTTTGCACAATGGGGGGAACGCGATTCATTAAGTAGAAGAGACGAATATTAAAAAAAAGCGAGTTTGTCCCGGCCCTCTAGTGTTTACTGCTAGGGGTAGGGATACTGCAAGATCAGATCGAGAAATAGGAATGTTCGACACATTTGTGTTGACGCCAGTTCAACTCGGCTGTGAGAAGTGGCATAGTTCCCCGCAGTCTTGAGAAAGTTACGAGACTGTGTAGGTGGTTTCACTAGAATGTAAATCATTAGCTGGCCCCACGCAATGGCGGCAGTAATTGGACGTAATCAGACAGTCAGGGGTGCTCGTGTGTACAGTCAACACCTACGCATTACCTACTCACACTTATGTCTTAGTGTTCGGTAGTTCGGGGAATCGATTTTTCGCTTCCAAATAAGTACAGCGGGCGTTTCCGCAAAGATCACCCCAACACACCTTCCATCTGCTTTTGGGTGCGTGCGTGCGGTACCGCAAGGTCATTATTAACTGATCAATAAGTCCATACGTCAAGATTCCGTGACTTTCTCCTACTGTTTCTGGCAGATCGGTTTAACTTAGCCACATTGTGACCTGATTTTATTGGCTTAGCACACCAGCCATAGGGGATGTTAAAGATATGTTGGTCAGCTTTTACGAGTAAATTCTTACAAACAATTGACTCAGCTGCACATTAATCCTCAGTTGTTCATTGGAACAACCCTTGGGAATGTGAACTATGGCTTGAATGGAATTGTGGCTGACTAACCAGCCCAAAGTCTCATCACGTTCACATTATGGTATACTCACTGGAGGTTGAACTTCATTGGAATATCAGTTATCTCTGTTGTCCCTATGTTGCCTGCTTGTCACATCCATATTATAAAATAATGTAATGTTTTGTTTTTGTTACCCTATATGTGAATTCAAAAAAGTAAATGTGCAAGTAAAACCTTCAGTTCGAAACGATCTGGTTAAAATGTACCCTAGCGAGGTTTTTCGATATGCGAATTTGGAATGTGGAGCATTACTGTGTGGTATAACCGCCTGAATTTGATATTTTTTGTTTTCATTCTTTCCTGACTAATTCTGGACTGCCGTTGCTCCGAACTTGCGTGCTGAAGATTATTGATAGTTTCATACTGAACGTCAATCACGCAAAATGTAAATACGACTGTAATCCTGTTTTAGGATGACTTCTATGTTTTTCTATACATAACTCGCTGTCCACATTCTGGATTTGTACATTATTTTCTGATGGTTTTTTTATCCTCTGAGCGGAGCCAAAAGGCACAGTTCAGCTGTTTCGTCCAGCTAATGCTCGTGGCCCAACGGTTGATTTTTCAAACGTCTAGCTGGGAGTTCGAGTCTCCCTAGAGTTTCATTAAGTTCCTTCCGTTGGGTGCTTCCTAATAAGGATGAAACAACCGTGTAATGCCCTCGGCTTTTCAGTGAATTTCAGCGTGTTTACAAAGGTGCGAATCGCCAAGGGCCTCAAACTAGAATTGGTAGCTGATCCGAGACATGAATGAACAAGTGCCAGCCAACACGTTGTCCGTTCACTTTGCGAGACTATAACGGATCAGTTAATGAAGATATTCAGGGAGTGTAGTCAAAGGAATCATCATTAGAATCTCCCGTACCCATTTTTAAGTACTTGGTTTATTCATACAAATGGTAGTGTCGTTGATGTTGGTCACTTGCTCAAGAGAATCATTCTTTTGCATCCAGTAGTGTGAAGAACATTCTGGTTGTAAATTTCGTCGACGTTTTATACTATCTTCCTGTGGAAAGCTGTCGGTCAGAACACCAGTCACGGCACCCCAAATGGTAAAGCTCATCAGCTTCAAGGAGGTTTGCTTGTAGCTCTCAACATTCACAACGAGTTATCGTATCGGTGACATATATCTCCATTATTCGACCATATCATTTTTTTGATCTCTTAAGTTTTGACAACATTCTTTAAAACTGACTTCAATACGTTAATAAGAGCTTCTGGGGACGCGGTCGGTGGTATTCTACGCGCGCACCTTTAAGCAGCCTATTCCCTCCATAATGCAGCAATACCAGCGCCGCTGTTTGATCGGCGGTTTCAGCCACGTTTGAGATAAAATTTCTCACGCGTTTCCGTATGGGAATTCAAAGCGCATTCTGTGAGTGTCGCCGCATTCTCTTCCTCAGCGGAACATTTTCGAACTCGGACCACAAAATGAAGTGACTTCAAACCAATCAATGATATCAGTCTCGGTGCTCATTCAGGTCNAGCTCCGATCTAATTCAAGTTTCTTCCGATTGTTCCTCCCTACTTTGATGGTTTGCGATATCATTTAAATTGGGAGTTGAAAACAATAAGACGTTCATATCCGAAATATGTAAACCTGTTTCCGAAAAGCCTGGGGAGGGTCAGGATGAGACCAGATCACCACAGACTCTTATTCAGCCCCAAACTGTGGGTAATCCAGGAAACGAAGGTGCACACCGTGAACCGATTGCGAGTTAGGTTCATATTGTTTTTCGTCTACAGGTCATGTGAAAATGCCCCGTCCCTAAGATAAGTGTATCCTGCTGATCCGAGAATCTCGTGAATCTGTCGGTTTCAACCCCGTCAACCTATATCCTCCGCATGTTACTTTAAATAGCTAATGCTTTTGCGGACAGAACGTTTCAACTGATCATGCTCAATGTGTCAATCGGCTTTCAACACTGATCAGTTCACTCCTACTGAGACAAAGGGTCACACGATTCGGGTTTAACAGTCGGATAAGCGTAAGAATCGGACGTCAAAATGAGAAACAGAACGACTGAGGGGTCCATAACCGGACTGAAAAACCATGGAGTGCTCTGGAATCTGCGGAGTTGAAAACAATAAGACGTTCATATCCGAAATATGTAAACCTGTTTCCGAAAAGCCTGGGGAGGGTCAGGATGAGACTAGATCACCTGCGTATGCTCTCCTCCGTTGAGTAGCTGGTTTTTCATGAACCTTTCATTTAGACTGACTTTATATGTTGATAAAAAAGCGCTTACACAAACCTTCCAACCAAACGGGCCTGACCGAATTCATTGTCCACGCCACCAAGATATGGTTTCAGTTTCTTGCGAGTGGATTTATCTGAGGTCAAGTTTCGTACATTTTCGTTTCATTCTAAATGCTTTGCGCTTCGTTAGTCATGAAGTGACACCTTTACGTCCATTTCACGTAAAAGCAACCGAGACTGCTACAAATAACAATAAGCGACTGGGTCTGTTTCCGAAATCGATAATCTAGTCATTCAGTCCTCTACGTTACCCAAGCAACAGATGACCCGAGAAGTCATCGTGTGATAATTAACAGATGTCGAATGCAGCCACTGTTCACACATCAAAGCGGACTAACTTAGCTTGTTAGCTGGCGATCGTAAGGTGTCCAGCGATTGTTATAGAAATTCACTCCTTTATCACTCGACTTTCATGAACCAAGTATTTTTAGTGAAAACCCAAGGTCTCGGTGAATACATCTGGCCTGGCACTTCAACTGCTAAATGCGCCCATTGCTTGTCGGCTTCTGGACAGAGTTCTGCTCTGCTTCCATTATAATACAACAGTGTCCATCTCAGCTGACCTCAATGGTGTGGGTGGGCGTTTGCGTACAGCATAAGCGTTATTGTGTGACTAATTGGATTTCGCAATTAACTCTGCCGTTTTCTATGACTGTCAAACAACACTAGTGATTAGTTTACGTTGGACGACTTTTTAGCCGATCGCTGTATACTTTTCTGATAGAAGTGATCGCAGCCATACTTCGCCGAAGCTGCATACACGCAACCCTCTCACCCGTGCTATGCATACACACACAGTGAAGTGAATTGTTTGCCGAATTACCTGTTTATTTAATTCATGCTGTACGTATGGCCTGAGAAATGAGAACTGGAAAGCAATAGTGAACTGCCGAGTGGACAAACGGTAAACAACTAATGACATTAGGCTTTGAATACATCTGCCTGATTGCTTTCTCGTGTATTTAGCAATTGTAGCAAGTTGCTTTTCACACTGAGTGTGATTCTCATCTATCGTGCTTCAATAGGCTTTAGTAAAAAAAATTCGATGTTTAGTGGTGATTCTTCTCTGCATTACTATTAATCCTTGTCCATATCCGAGAAATGTGACGTATTTAATGTAAAAGAGGTTTTTCAGTCGATAAAAAGAGAAACCGCTGTGAGTTATGTAAAAGTTGCTTGCGCCTGAATAAAATACACTCGTATCACTCTAGGGACCCAAAAAATGTTATCTATTCTAGCAGAGACTTCGACAATCAAGTCCACTGCAGTGGAAGCGTCCTCTTCAGAAAGTTGATCTCACTCTGGGGAAACGCGATAACGGGTCAGCAGTGTTTCATGTGATTCCAATGACCCTTAAAAAAGGAAAAAGTGCACTTATTGTTCCACTTGGAGTACCAAATACTTTACGGCGTATAACTGCTGGAGTCGAGTGAGTCGCATCCCTCCGTGCGCCATGGTCTAATCCTACTTCCAACGGCGGATACCATGAGTTTTTGGAACTTCTAAACGATGGACACCTGATCTTGTCGTAATGAGACAAATTTTTAGCCGGTCCTCAGAACTCTTGTGCCAGTTCGTTCAGGTGATGGGATATAGAGCCGTTTTCACTAGTTCGTCTTCCTGTTTGCCAATGACAGTTCTCACGGACCATTGTGGTTTGAGCTGTTTGGGTTACATGGATTTGCGCCATCTCGAAGCATCGTTGACGAACATCGCAGCCGATCACGTCAGCATGCCTAAATTTCCTTAAACACTTCGAATCCCGCTTGTGTTCGTACTTTATTCAAAGCTACAGCTATCCGGTCTTTAATCAGGTTCGACGATCTTGGTGTCTTGTAATACCGCGCACTGATGACGCTTCTCCGACCTTTGAAGAAGCGTTTGTAAGCTACTTACCAAGCTTGGCGAGTGGAGTATCAGTACCTGATTAAGAACACTTGAATGTGCCCGGGCTACCAATATTTCGACACATTGTCCATAACTACCTACACACTTTCATGAGAGTGACTCTCCCATCTCTTAGAATCTCGGGCTACAGTGATAGGTACGGATGGAGAATTAGGGCAACGACCACGCATGGCGCCTTGTCAGCACATATCAGCCGTTTCTTACACCTTACTGACGACAGCGATATCAAAGTACAACCTGGTCCCGTAAAACCAGTTGGTCATTGGGCCAGGATTAGGAGCGGTAAACCGTACACATACTACCTGTCTTCACCATAGGAAGATGGGTGTAATTTGTACTACTCGTTTTGTAATGTAAAACTGTTTTACTCTCATCGTATTACTGTGCAGAACCGCGTTTGCTTTAGACGCAACCTCGTGTCGTATCAGTATTCACCGGTTTAAGCGTGACAGTACTTGTAGGACCTGAACTAAAACTACACCGTGATCGGTTGGCCCCCATTTGCTGTGCATCAACGTCGAAAGATGCCCCTCAGAAGCACTAACCCTTACTAGCCGAGTAGATTATTTCCGCACAGTTTCTGTTTCTCTTGTCTAGCCTTGATAGTCCCTGTCCCCGATTCACACTGGCTCACTCATGTCTTCAATTTTTCTAGCCAACTCAGGTAACGACTCTGCTCAAATCTGCACGTTTGCTGCGGCTTTTCGGAATTGTGAGAAAGTTGGATCGATACTCGGAATACGGGGCTTCCATTCTCTTGTTGCTCACAGCACTTTTCGCGCTAATTGCTCACTGGTTGGCTTGCATATGGTAGGTTACATTAGGAAGATTGACAAATAAAGATGTTATTCAGTTTGCAATCGTGGTAGGCTTTTAGGGAACTTTTTAAGTGGATTGGCCAAGTGTCTTTCAAAGCTTTATCATAGTTCTGCACGGGGACCTATTAGGCTCTGCCACAGGGATCTCATGCGATAACCCGAAGTTACTTGGCATCTCGTTTGGAACTCTTACTGTACCAATTTCCTCAGGTAATACCCGTTCGAATTTACTGGTGTGTAACACCATTCTTGGTGACCCTTTTTCTTGTCTTCTGCGGAAAATATCCGTTATCTTTCCACTAAGGTCATTCAAGTAGGACAACCTAAGGAACGGTTTTCCACGGTCACTTCAGATGTCACTGACCTCGATCTGTCCGTCTCTGGTAGCCATTTTTAAACCGAAGACTGGCTCCCCATTTGTACGGATTATGCCACAGATCTTCAGAAATAGGAAGCATGAATACATGACATGGTGATGGCTAATTCTCCCACAGGAACCGGGTACAATCAGATGTTCAAGTTTCTAACCAGAGACGGTCTTTGAAGACTGATTTGTTGGACAAAGTGGTTACCTCTCCTCAATAATCGGGATGCAGATGAAGTTTACGAACGAAGTAAGCTGATAAGTATATGGAGCCCATCGTACACGCCCCATTTTGATTTGGACAATTTCGTGTTTGAATGAACCAACCAACGAATAGATATAAAAAAACTGAAATACAAACCGGTTAGGGCACGATTTGTGTGGAATCAACTTGCAAGTAGAAGCGATGGTAAGGCATTTGTTCTTTTATGCCAGATCTGTGGTTTTGTGAAATCAGCTGGCTACCGGACCACAAATCGGACGTGAGGGTCAGCGTTGTGGTAGACATCAAAGCCGGACAAGTGTCAGCCAGGGGAACCCCACCGTCTTCAACTTATTCTGAATAAGTCAGGCTCGAAAGTTACCAATGTGGTTCTCATATCGGCTGGTTTTCACGTCCACCCTAGCCCAGAAGACTTGTTTACCAGCCTCTGAAGGTTGTTTAGGTTGCCGTACTTAAAGCATTCATAGCAAACAAGACACTGCTGCCGTTGTGATCGTGATTGGTTTAGTGGCTGAATTGTTTTTTTTGTGAGCTTTATCACCTTTCTGTTATCTCCTTCGACTCGTTTATTATACTTCACTAAAGTTCTATTCCTTTCGATTCCGTCTATTTTGTTCCCCTCCATTCTTTTCTCTGGTAGGTATGCCATTGGTAAAGAAGAGCATCGAGGTGAGGGACCAAAAATAGGATGGCTTAACACACTGGCAATGCAGACTGAGCAGCACTACACGGAAGATCCAAGTTCTGGACCAGATATACAGACAAAGTACATAACTGCTCTGTATTTCACCTTTTCAAGTCTTACCTCAATCGGCTTTGGAAATGTCAGTCCCAATACCAACGCGGAGAAGGTGTTCTCCATCGTTGTCATGCTTGTTGGATGTGAGTTGTCGAACACTGCTGGTATATTTGTATCGTACTCTCATTCCCAGTTGGGCTCATGAGTGCCATGCACCCGCTGAGCAGTCGCAGGTCGAAAATCACGGAAGAATGAGCTGGATTGAACTTCATCAGCATACGGATTGAGGACGTCATTTCGAAAGCTTGAGCTCTGATTATATTACTGTTCAATCAGCTCTAGAGCAACGATAAACTTTTGGTTGAGTTCAATGTTTTGCTTTTCTAGCAAGTACTTGTACTGCCGGATTTCGTACCAAGGCTATTTCAGCGTAAAGTCACATCGCTTGGCCCACGCAAACTCAGCTTATGTGATTGTGCTAGACTTATTTCAACTATGAACTCAAATAGTTTAACAGGAGCTTGTGGTTGTTACTTCAGTTTGATTGACTTATCTGATGGTCAGGTTATTACCAGAAGCTTGGGCGAAGGTGAAAAGCAACTGTGCATAGTGGGCTCGATCGAGCGAATCTCAAGGGAATTTCGCACAGAACTCTCAATAGACTAGACGATATTTGGTCATAAAATTAGCGCCGGTTTCATACTCCATCCATTTGAGAGTACATTAGTGAAATATAAAAGTGTTTCACATCGTTCGTTTTCAATCCAGAACATTATATCTCTCTCATCCACCTCTATCTACCACTGATGTATGTTATGTTCTGGAATTCTTCCAAGCAGCTCATATATCTGAAAGGAATTAGCATTTCGCCACACTCCTTTATCCCCATCCACAGCTCATCGTAAATCAGGCCGTTGAAATAAAAGAAAATTTCGTCAGCTGTTCCGAAACTGGATTCCACTGTCGTTAAACACTGGTAGACTCAGACCATAGTGGCTGAGGTATAGCAGAGCCTATCCGAAGTCATGGAAAATATTTTCTAAAATCACTTATAACTCCAGTGACTGACTCTCAGTTTCAGTCTAACTGGACGATCGGCGACCAACTGACTTGACGGTACATCGCCGTATATCATTAAGGTGCCTGTGTGTACGGCTGTCAAGAGAAATTATGCCGCTTTTGATCTCAGTGCCGACCATTGTGACAAATTCCCTTATCACCAGGTGGCTATATGGTTGTCGGTCAGACTTGTTACCGGTTATTGAGAATCGTACACAAGTAACAATATAGTTTCACCCTCCACAGCTTTGTTCATCGGTGACTAATGGGTTGGAAGCGGATACCAGGGAATCCGGGATGCCTGATCGGAGCACTGAAAAGTTAACTCGGCGATGGGGAATAGGTGACTGTCACGTCTAATGCCAACGTAATCAACTTCATGTGTATTCGGAGGGGCACTGTTTGTCAGCGTTTCTAAGCACCACTGTGGCCTGACTCAGAATCTCCGTCCCAGAAGATGACGTTTATTAGCAACACTAAGTTTGCTGGATACGATTTAGTACTCGCAGGGTATCGCTACATGTGTCAACAAGTATGTACGGTTACGAAACATGACAGAAATTATCAGTTGGTACTCTTTGTTCTCCCTCCATCGCTGGTACTGGTCCTTCAAGGTAGGCCTTCTGTTCCTCTTAATATGGATTATCCCGTTAGATTATCCGCACTCTTTTTCGGACAGAGGCCCATCTTGACTTCACTGCCGTCGGAATGTGTCGGCTCCCACGAATTGTTAAAGAGCGGGGGAAAGTGGGCTCAAGTGGTTTGAACCCGACCTCTGCCTCTCGACTTTTCTTGTCTAGGTTTGGGCAACCTGGCAGTATCTCAGCTCTCGTGCTTGCTTCGGGTGGCATGGCAGCTAGGGACCGGAAGGGTGTTACAGCTGGCCGGTTGTTAAAGAACAGCTTCACATGTGGCACGAACTTTATCCATTTAAGTAGGAAGTTACTGTATGAGTACCTAGCGAACAAATAGGCACCTTGACTCCCTGGGTCTGAAGCTGCATCCTTTTGATTTCCTTACATTCTGGACTTCCCAAAATGTTTTCAGTTGTCATCTTCAAGCTGTCGATAGCTCATCCCAAGTTTTGTCCATGAGCTGTGTCAGCATTCCCACAATATATATATATATATATATATGTATAGAGGAAAATGTTGGTAGCTCAGGTATCGTAGATGGTGGTCGTTGGCTTGTTCGAGCACTCAAAATAGCTTTGCTGGGAAATTTTACAAAATGGGGCAAAAACTTCCCAAAATTGTTCAGAGTTAGCAAAATCGTTCAGTTCTGTGTTAATTGTTCAATACATTTCAAAATATTTTCTGAATTTTAATTTTAATCGAAAACATCGTACTCGTATTGATCAGCAGGATATCTGGGAAACACTCGGCTTAACCATTCTCCACATACCCCAAAAGGGTCGAACAGGAACGCAACAGCTGTCCATCAACTAACCATGGCCTCACTGCGATCTTCCCACCAGGCGTGTCATTAGGCTAATCAGCTGCGTCTAGGAGCGTGGATTCTTCTCGTTTCCGTGATCCGTGTTAATTGGCGTTGAATGAATGATGCACCCATCGATACCCACTCGAGGTTCCTCGTATGACCTCGGATCGGGGACAACTCACAAGCATTGGCGAGAGCGTTCAGTATCAGTTGCCATGCTGCGTATTCTTGAGTTGAAATAGCATTCTGTGGTCCCAAACGCACAAGTCAAACCAAAGGACAAAAGATTTTGATATCCAAAGAGCACATAGATGAAATACTAGCTTAGGTCTCAGGTAACCAGACTATGACGTCGGAAGAAATTCGGACTCGCAAAACCTGCCGTTTATTGCGCTGCCATTACTTCGACTGCCTTTCCACAACTAACAAGATCCTTTCACTTACACACGTAATCCACGATCTGCTTTTCACTGTGCAGGGCTGTATGCAAATAAAGCCTATCTGTAATGCCAGATGAGCCCATCTGCGGATGCTGGCAGGTCAAATAGTTGTAGTGTATGTCAATGAAACACGTCAGTCCAGACTTAAACGTTTACTTCCGGATGATGCACACGAGGGCACCACGATATTTAGAGTTGGTCCCCGTTCACTTTGCACACGTGTGATGGTTTTCCTTGAGCAGAATCGTTATAACCCTGATGGGTGATTCGTGTAGGAACGCGTCAGATCCTGAGCGTCGCGTGCAACGGCTTTTTACTATGGCAGTGGCAGCATTATCGTTATTTGCCGCGAACATTTGATTCAGCATGTGCGGGTAAATTTCTCAGATCGTTTAAATTGAAAAGATCATTCTACGCACCTGCCTTTGTGTTCCATTTAGTTCGGTTCGGCAAGTCTTCCAACGCAGCTGGACTGGCCTTGTATTTTTAGCTCGAATGAGGCGCAAGACCTTTTGAGTAGCTTAACCGTCTTTCCGCCCCATGATGAACTCACAAAGAACGACAGCAGACAGGTGGTTATCTTAATGCACAGGTTATATGATAATGCATTTATTCCACTCGGTTTTATACCCGAAACCATATATAGTGCAGCCCAATGGCGCAGTACGTTGGGTGCAGTCGACAGATGTTTCAGCTATCTACCACTCAGCCGATCGTTGAAGGGTCTGTACAATTTCCGTATGCTCCGTCAGACCATGTTTCGTTCAAATTCTCTCGTATGTGCACCTTAAGTCGTTCGCGAACGGGAGTGGAATGGAAACCTAGGTCTTTTTATTAGATCGTGATTGGAGTTTTCGGGAAATTTATCCCAGCTATCTCAATCTGGCAAGCATTATATCTCCCCCTATCTGGAATCACCTAGCGCTTGTTTTTGCTCAAGAAACATCTATGGTGAAAAATCTGGAGAAGTTTGAGGCTTTCGGAGTGGAGCGGTCAAGCTTTACTGTCATGAATTAGGACTAATCTCACAGTTATTTTGTGGATGTGACCCTTTCGCTTCAGTGGAATGTGTTTCAGCGACAAGTGCTACGTAGCTTGAAGAATATTACACGTGCCTTGAGTATGCGTACGTTGAATTTATCACCCTACATTCACAGCTTATGTAGCCACCCAGTTATGCAAACGGATGAACGAACCCAAGATCCTCATTCGGAAGTCTTATGCTAGATACGAGGTACTTGGAAATTCTGTGGTATTTCTAAGCCACAGAACACCCGCCGAAATAATGGGCCTTTCTATTTACTTGATTGCCAGATAACGAAAGCACATCAAGCGATGAATCAAAGTCCACTTTTCTTTCTTCAATTGTGGCTGCGATACCCTCTGATGAACCTCGCTATCTGTGAGGGAACTTTTGGATAACTAACTGTGGAATTTACCTTGACCAATATACGAGTCTGTGGCTGCCACTCCTGTTCCGCCAGGTATATGTAGAAGAACGAGTACTCACTCACAATCAGATACTCAGATAACCCACCGGGTCCCTGTTGTGCAATTCACTCTGCCAATCAAAATCGACAGTTTCTGGAAAACAATGAGACGCTGGACAGACGATTCATCAGAAACGCATATCCTACGAATTATAGGAGTGTTCGGACCTGTAACCTTTCGATTTCCCGGGATTTTATAATCGCTTCGCTGAAAAACCCACTACACTCGTCTGTGGCTCTAATATCCTACCATCCTTGCTGCTACCTAAGGTGATACCCCCACCCCCGAAGAGTGGACTTTCTTGAAGAGAGCATTCTATTCACTCAGATTGAAGGGCATCCTCCATGTATCTGGCACTTAAATTGACGACCTTCGATGCTCGAGTACGGTGATAATAAAGCCTATCTGTAATGTAACATGGTCAATGCCGTCGAATCAAAGCAAGGGTACACTTTGTAGAATCTCTCACCTCTGTAAGACCCCTGTACATGTATAAAAGTGCATGAAGGCATGGCCGATATAAGTTCTCTGGTCAAGCCCAGTACTTTACGCATCTTAGGTTGATTCATAGTCAAGAAACCTGAATTGAATCGTATCAAACCTACCTTTCGGTTCAAGCGATTTAAGCTCGGGCTACATGAGACTTATTTATTCGAGATTATGATGCATGCTAAGTATAACATTCGAGCAAGATAGGTGAGACAAGCTCAAAGTCATCCTCGTTCTCCCATCCACTTATGTGATGTAGGTAATCGTTTGTTTCGCTAGAATTACGTGTTCACCCTTCTGGATTTCTGGGATGGCTCATCAAAACTGTCGACGTGCAACGGCTGCACTTACGATTTCCCAACTAAGTGGAACTGATATTCTTCCCCACGTAAGACCACTTGTCTGGAGACAAGTGAGTCTATGCTTGCCCGCGTGTGAAGAGAAAAGAGCAGCGGATCGTAAAAGTTAAAACCAACCAGGCGAGAGCGTACACTGCGAATGTTCCTCCCTTTTTTATTCCCTGAGTGTTTGGTTTCGTTTGACAAGATCCGAATTTGAGCATCGGTAGATCCGTTCAATGAACCAACTGATGAGACATGCGGTAGGTTGTTTCTTCGGCTGCTTTTCTGGCTTGTCAGTTTGAGTCTACCTCGAGTGAACTGAACATTCGTGCGTACTTACAGCTCAATGAGTGTACCCCGTTCTCAGCAGGCTAGGACTGAGATAACACTTCTAAAATGAGTGCCCGTTGATCGGACTAGAAGGAATAGTTCTAACCATTGTTAATCGACTTATTAACAAGCATTTTTCGATGCTTTCAATCCGACTTGTTTTATAAGGCCGTGTGACCTATCTGGTGTATACTCCGGATTACCGAAAAACGGTTTCGCTTGCACAACTTTCCAGAAGGTGCTCTGTGGAAGATGAAACTGAAAGACTGACGCAATGTAATTGCATAACTACCCCTATTTTTGACCTCAGACTAGCTACTCATTTGCAGAAAATGACTACTATTCATGTGGGGATCACATCCAGTCATTTGATAATGGATTGGAAATCACAAAGATGGGGGTTCCTCTCATTTATTTAAAATGAGCGCAGCGAAAACAAGTTCAGTCGTATGTGCATTTCATTCGGGTCACCATCGTTCACCGCCCTTGTTGGCGCGTTCATCACTGGCAAGACAACAGCTAAAAGGAGCGAGCGCCTTGTGCCTTATTCATTCAAAGGGTTTGCGAATGAAACCAAATGACACAGGTTAAAAAATATCAACAGTTTGTTGGATAAGTGACATTGAGGGAGATAGAAGAGTTTGGGCTCTGTGGTTTGTAGGTTTGCAATGGAAGTGGTATTGATAGCCCACAGGATTTATTGAACGGGACTGTCCGATGTTTCCTTGAATTAATTTGGTGCGCAATCCCCAGCATTTTCAATAAGTTGGTTACTCAAAAGATTCTTCAGGTACTATTCGGATGCAGTAATATCTTGTGTGCAAGGTGACACTGTTTAATTTTGCCAATAATCTTCGTTCTCAAGGCTTATGAGGAAGCGTTGGCCACTCTGCCACCCGATTTCCGCATCCCCGAACAGGTGTCTGGGAGCTACATTATAATGCGTCTTTTAGGTGACCTTTGAACTCTCCTTGACATCGGGTACTTGTTTCCAGACTGACTGAATCAGTCGGTCTGTTTCTACCTCCCGCTGATAGTACGATGTTCGCTTGAACTCTTTACTTGTCAGCTTGCTGCTTCTACAATATGCGAGTGCTGCAATTGGTGATTTACCACGCTACTCGTGAGTAGGTAAAGTGCGTTAGGAATCGGCAACTCCTGGTGGGTTGGAACCCCCAGACTTTGTGTACCTTTTTAAAAACAATTCCATCGTGATTTTCACGTCCGTGGCTCTATGGCTCTCGGGTACCTGCGAGTAGTAGAGGCACTTCTTTTAAATGTCATCCAATTTCTTCCTTGTTTCTTCTGGTCATGTAATCTATAAACCTAGTTGTCATGGTTCGTTCCTCAGGACATTAGGAATAGCTTGCTTTCTCAGTCTCCTTGTGGTGATTCTGCGGAATAAACGTTTCATACAACTACCTGTTCATTTTGTGGCTGGAGACAAAACTTTTTGGGGGGAGTGAAACCACTCAGTGATACGCAGTTGTACAGGGGGCACTTCATCTGTGTTCCTTCTCGCCGCTATGCACACGGATACACAACAGCGATCAATGCGTTCAACTTGGACTTTCTTGATGTGATAAAGTTTACAGAAATAACTTATGGATCTTGGCATAGTAAAAGGGCGACGTTCGTTTTTTTATTATAGATTTTTGGACGTTTAATGTGGAGACTAGCTCAGTAGCTTCATTCAGTTTCGAAGTTGCTTTTCTGGATAGCCAATCCATCTTTCTACATAAGACCTGCTTCTAAGGTTAGTCAGGAAATCATATTGGTTCTCTCTGTGTTGTACGTATCAGCAGCCACTTCTCCTTTCTCATGGTGTTAGATGTTTTTCGCCTCACCGCGTAACATTGACTGCAGACGTCATAACGGGATTCGAACTAGTGGTTGCATCAATAGATCCCGGGTAACCTGTCCCAACGTGAGAGAAATTGTGCTGCTTTTTACATAGGACTAAGAGGGGACTTCTGTGGATATCCCTATTTAGTTTTCCGTTTTCTCTCACGGACTGCAAACCACATAGTATTTTGCAGGACTTCAGAGTTCCTGAAGCGCATATGTTTTCCGTCTTCAACAACATGATACTGATCTCATAGTTAGTGACTCACAGCTGATTCACAATTCTTCTTTGTTAATAAACCATTTTTTCATTCAAATATTTTCACCCAGTGGGAGGACATGTGTCTATCTGGGTTTCGCTCCTCTCAGTCCTTTGCCAACCTGACGACTGATCAAGTTACGAATGTTGGGGATTTCATCTATCACTACCCATAAGAATGACTACGCATTGGCTGGTTTTTATTGTGCTGTGAATGCCCCAACATAAACTCATCTTTGAAACTTTGGGTCTGGAGAAGTTCTCAGTGACCAACTTCGGAGGCACATCTCACACGTTGGTTCTGATCACTAAAACACACAAACGTAATTGAACTGGTAATCCGTCACTTCAAAAAACCTTGATGTGATCACTAGATCAAATTGGCTTGAGATAAATTTTGTTGGTTCAAATTGAGACAAGCGTACACTCGGTGGTTTCTTTTCAAGGTTGGTGCCAAACACAACAATTCACCGGCACATCCCACCCAGATACTCACGAGGCGGATGGGGAATGATTGGATTTCGTCTCGTCCGACTCTGATTACCTTTCTTCGGCTCTCTGGGGTGTCTTTAATTTTATGGGAGTTTATCAGTAAACGCATGATATTAAAAAGGTCTTTTGTTGAGACGTTTGGCTTTACCCACACCGAGTAGGTCCAAGTCTGGCGATCAACTCAGTCATATGGCGGGTGAGTTGTGATCCTCTAGAGGTTCGCCCACATAGTGCATGACACGTTGCGTGCATTTTCAGCAATACCCCTCTGCAAAGTTATTTTTCCTACTTGCCAGGTAGAAAAGTTTGGAAACTAACAGCATTGACTTGGTTTCCACCCGCTGGCACGCCTTTCAATCAGTTACGATGATCTTCTCAGAACCGAGAGGGAATTTCTTTGTAAGGAACACAACGCTAGTTCGGGTCTTCGGAACATTTTCGCTGAATACAAAATTTCTCTGATGTAACTATTCCGACTATGTTCTATCCTACTGTGTTGTATATTGGTTATATAAACAGCATAGACGTATTCAGACGGACCGCTGCACCTTCAGTCAGATCCAGATTTTTCGTGGTATTCTATACTAAACATTTGACAGATTGCTCCTTTGTCTTTATAAATGATCGTTACCTCGATCATTCTTATCATTATGAACGCAGTATTTCTGTACTAATGCCCTGACCTCGTTTCAGCTCTCATGTATGCTAGCATTTTTGGAAACGTTGGCGCCCTTATCCAACGTTTGTACAGCGGAACCGCTCGCTATCATGCTCAGATGCTTCGAATCAAAGAATTTATCCGGTTTCACCAAATTCCCAGCCCATTGCGTCAACGTCTAGAGGAATATTCGACCCAGGTCTGGGAACACACCAACGGAATCGACATGACCATGGTGCAGTACAGTTTTCCGGAGTCACTCCAATCCGATATCTGTTTATACGTATATCGGGATTTCCTCGGTGGATCTTCTGCATTTAGGTGTAAGTGGCAATTTTCTTGTTCTTGTTTTTTCTGTTCCTTTTTCACCTCCGCATTGTTAGTCAGATTCCTCATTTTCGGACTACTCCTTAAAGTGACGAATTTGCGGTTGCAGTTGAGTTTGACGAAGTGGCCACGTGATCAAAGAAAAATTATCGAAATCTTTTAGTGGTGGAATTGGCTGAGGCTTCTCGTGTTAGCTTCGACCGTCGACATGCTGACTAGTGTTTGTGGACACTTTGATATCGAGTTCGAAACCACACCAACGTCGGCTAGCCATTAACGCCGATAAGTGAATGATGCTGACTTATAATAATGAAAATTCTTACTTGGGAAAACTTATTGGACCACTATTTGTCTTATGTTGATTCAAATTTAAGGGACTGATTAGGAATGTACCCATTTGTTGCGAGGTTGTTTGGTAATTGTATTATCGCATGCAAATGTCGGTTGTGTTTGACGATAGCCACAGAGCGTACAACTGTTTGAAGACACGCTAATCAGCAGCTGTGCATTTTGTGGTAGGGTGGGGGTGAGATAGCCCAAGTGGTTTGAGCGCGAATTCACTGACCGGAAGGTCCGTGCTTCGAACCCGACCTCTGCCACTCGACTTCCCCTGTTTAGGCCTGGGCGACCTGGCAGTATCCCATCCCTCTTGCTTTTTCCGGATGGCATGGCAGCTAGGCACAGGAGGGTTGTTACAACTGAACGATTATTATTATTATTATTGTGTTAGGGGACGCTTGTGATTTTTTCGGTTCGTGCGTGATGTTCCAACCACTACTTACCCACTGGGGCTTTCACACATGCAACTGTGCATGAAGTAAAATAGCCTATGTTTGTGTATATTTCAAATTAACGCTCGACTGATCATTTACTCAAGTGATGGCTGGCTGTCAGTTTCAAGACGACCATGGGGAAACAGAATTCAAGTTGTCCAAATACATGGCCGGGGCCATGACGGGAATCTAATTGAAACGGGAGTTCAGCGTAGGAACGTATCCTAAGGAAGGGTGGAATAGTGGCTGATAGGTCACCGTCAACATCTTGTTTTAATCGTGTTCGAAAGTGCCGTTGAAAATGCATCCACACAACCTCAGCTGCCTTGTTATTCAACCGGAGTCGACAAGCTGGCCGCTGGTAACACCCACGCACCTTTAAATGGTATGGGACACAAATCAAGTTTATTGCATTCGTTTCCAAGCTATGAAGCGGTAAGTCTGTGCAGTTGTAACGGACCCCTTTCCTATCCTGGTATTTAGACATGGAATCTTGAAGAATACGTAAGTATACAGCCGTTGTTCATCAACTCTTCCCGAAACCTCATTCTGTTATAAAGACCGACAAACAAGGTTTCTCTGATGCCTTGCCGGTGGATAACAGACATGCAAATAGAGAAATAGGGCGGAAATAGATAAATCTGTTTGACCTCTGCCACTGCTGTGAGTGGTTTTGCGATAAATTTTATGCTTCAACAAGATGTAGCGTGTACTACTCGGTGCTTTTGTTCTAACCCATAAAACAGGAAGAGTGCTTTTTTGTAGAAAAACAAACAAGAACTTCATTATCGGTTAGTGGGCTATATCCGCGCGTATTCGCATATTTTTTACTCATAGCCAACGACGGCTGTACGTCCCCTCTTATGCGGCATTTTGCCTTTAAGAGCTCTCTTTGCACAATCAGTTTTCGCCACCTGGAAACCATTTCGGTCACAAACCTGCGCGACCAAACACTCATTCGAAACCGTAAAAAAACAGGTTGAGTTGCCTGAAACAGTTGTTCCACTCCACACACGGATAAAGCAGATCTTTGCGTGTCCGAGGCATTCTTGCTACTGCCTTCGGCCGACTTCGTCTCCACCTTATTCCCAGCTATCAGTTTCGACAGGGAAACAAGTTAGTGAGTTCGGGATGAGCCGATGACCACCTGATATCTCTTAAGTTCCCAGTAATACGATTTGGTGTTTTAGCAAAACGGATCACCCACATAAGATGAGTCTCCGTTTGAAGTTTGGACAGTGGATATGAGGTTTGGTCGTCCACAATTATTCGGATGACGGGAACTAGTCATCGTTTCGTGACGAGGCGTCCGTGTTGATGCACAAGTGTGCGAACGTGTAGGAAATACCAGTGAACTCCTAAAAAATGCATACGGGTTACGCTCTGGACGCCCACATGCAACCCAATTCTTTTTAGTCGGTTACTAAAAGGTTGATTGCTATCATATTCTCGGAGGAAGCACCCACTGCATCTTGAAGCCAAAAGACTTATGCTAGAAAGGAGGAGATTTCGGAGGCTATAATGGCATAGCTTAGAGTTTTTTTAGTACGGGTTAATTACGATTATGTTGGGTAGCAGATAGCCGTTATCCGGTTGATCCTTTTGTTTCTGCCTGTTGTTAGCATCGCACGCTTTGGCGAATTTTGGCCCAGATCTAATGTTTGCTCAAGGTCTTAAATATTGTGGATCAGATGCATAGCTATACCATATTTCAGTCGGGTACAGTGCCTGTATCGAGTAGGCGGCAGTCAACAATTTGGAGTGGTCTGAACGTAATTCGTGGTTTGTCCAGTCGATAATCTCTCACCTCCGCATGTGTACAGAAGTGCTCAGTGCTTCAAGTGCCAAACTGAAAACGCTGTAGCATTCATTCATTCACTTGGAAATCACTCCAAGTCAGCTTAACTCTTTAGCACGTTAAACATTTGTGGAAAACCAGAAAATATTTTGCGAGCCCTTTATGTTGGTATGCTTTTGACGTTGTCTTGCGCAAACCTGGCGCACTTAAGCATCTTCCATCATCTGAAATGTCATTTTGTCTATTTTTTCGGAAAAAAACGAACATCTTCGAGAAATACACTCATTTGCAAATCAATTTGGTTTCCACGAGAAACTCAACTGAGTCTCTCGTTTATGATATTCTACAACGGAATATGCTGCACACCGGCCGCCTCATGATTCATTTGGCACGATATTCGAGATATCGCAGTACATTTTCATGAAGGAAACTACTCACAAGGTTGCTGAAAACTCTTCGGCAGCCCACAACCGGTTTCGCCCTTCTTGGGGCTCATCAGGTAGGCGCAGTCCCTGAGTTTCAGCAACCTTGTGAGTAGTTTCCTTCATGAAAACAAATATCTGTTTCAATTTTTACACACGACCCATCGAATATTAGCTAAGTGTGGTCGACTATGCCATGTATCTAATGGTTTGTTTCCAAAAGTTCGTCAACAACTTCTTATTACCACAGTGCAACGGTTAGTTCAATAACTGAAAGATTCTGAGAGTTGACTCCGTTGTCAATGTCATGGTAACCCGGTGACGACTATTGTACTCCCCGTGCTTTACATGGCGACTATTCATCCAAAGGATGCTACGATTAAGTAGTTTATTTTAGCTCTCGACTAGATTCTTGGGCCTTTCTGTAATAAGTCCTAAACAGAGGCTACCGCGGCAATTTTTGGTATTAGACTCGGTAACTATGTTGGGACAAATTAGGGGTATTGTCGCGCTCACTGTTCTGTAGTGCTTTCTCTTTGCATTGTCCTTTAAGCGGACTTCAGCACCGGTTTTTCGTCCAGAAAACCTATTTCCATGATTTTGTTCCAATAGGTCTTCTTTTTATGAGTTTTTATAGCTTATCTCACACCATGGGCTCCTAATCGATGATATTTTATCACTCTTTAGCGCTAAACGATGGCTGTCTTCGCAACATATCTCTGCGTATTCGGGCAGCGCATATGCCTCCAAGCGACACACTCATCCATACCGGTGATCTGTTGACTGCCGTTTATTTCGTGGTCAAGGGCAGTCTGGAGGTCGTTACGACGGATGATTTGATATTAGGCGTTCTCAACCCAGGTGATTTTTTCGGCGGATTACCAACCTTGGTTGGGCGAAGTTCGATAAAAGCCAAGCATCACTGTCCGTACGGGTGTCAGCCAACTATGTGTCATTTCAGCTCACACCTACCGGCTCCTTTTGGATCGGTATCATCAGTAACCGCCGTAGCTACACTCGGTATGGCCCCACCCCCAAAGTCACGTTTCGCCGTGCGAGCTCTCACCTATGCGGATGTACAGTTTATTGATCGCCATGATTTGACTGACCTGTGTCACGTCTATCCAGAATTGGCGCATCGCTTGTTAGAGCGATTTGAACTTACTATACCCTTGGTATCACCTAATTTGAACTTACCCCAACCTCTGGTGAGTTCACATCATTGCAATACGTTCATTCTATGTTCTTAAGCTTGCTACGTACTACATTTTTACTTCGACTTTCGCTTTGTGGGAACAGACAGATTACCGCGCCAGTCATTCTATGATAACTGATCTAGCCCATCAATGCGTTTTCCCCACGAAATATGAACATCTGCAGACGGCAACTGATAAACTGAATAAATATCTTTTTATTCTCCCTTATTTTCCACCAGATATCCGGTAATTTTGCACTTTGTACCAAACCCGTTTTGCTGAAACAGAACATCCCACTTCATGCGAAGGGTTTGGCATTTTTGTTTGAATCCAGGCATGATCTGTTGTGAAATTCAGTAGTTCATGTGATACAAGCAAGCAGTAAGTCAGTAAGCGCATGCTTGGACCGGTCAAAATCATGCCTTGCTCGCAAATGCTCTCGTTTAAGTCAGGTTTCTAGCGGTCTGTTTGTTGTATTTTTCCGCATAGCTCAGTTTGACACTAAATAAACTGGGGGAAGAAACACTTTAGGGTTGTCATACTAAAAGTAAAGCTGGGTATGTTCACCCTGGGAGTAACAATAGAATTCTGGCATCGATGGTATGATCGAATACATTTCACCATACGTACATTTGATTCCTAATGGGAAGGCAGCATGATAGCGAGGCGAGCAAGTGCACTATTCAGAACCACTTCAACATGGACGTTTGTTTACTTGACTGTAAATTCTAGGCCGAGTTGCTTTCTGCTTTTTCCACGGACTGGTCCAGTTTCACCTTGCTTTATGCGGACGAATCTCTTCTTCGTCTGAAGCACGTGTTTGGAAGATATTCTGTAACATGCTGAAGCTTGTCCGTACTTTAAAGATGGCCTTGGCACCCGTTTCCTTACTTGCCTCTACTTATATTGTGCCTTTCAAAGGAATATTATGCAGTGCTGCGTGAGACCGAGTCTCAAGATTGCTTGAGCCAAAGCATACTTGAACACAGTTTAATTCGATTTGATTTTTCGTACGTCTGACACGTACGTGTGTTACTTTGGTCCATAAACTGAAGTAATTCCGATACTACTCTGTTTGCCTAAGCGTCTTTGGATGGGTGATTTATACCCCCCAGCGGTTGCGCCTTAGAATTTCCACTCCAAAGTTCACTTGGCTTAGTTGAACAAGAAAATAACAGACGCTGATTTTCATGTCTTCAGATTCCCCCGTCAAGACGTGATTTTGGCCATCATTTATTCTGTGCACAAAGAAAAATTTTCATCTTGCATCACCGTCTCACTCTTTTCGTGGAGCTAGCAATCTACCAAGTAGGCGACCCCGTTATGTCTTTCGGATCCGGATCGGATCATTTCGTTCTCCTATAAGTAATTTTCTTTCTGAGGCGATGTCTAGGGAGAGGATTATGTGTTCTGACATAAGTCTTCTGGATCGATAGCTCAAGGTGACCAGTCAGTACTACTTATTGTGGAAATCTGTTTTCTTGATCTTTCTTCTTACTAATTGCCCCTCAGAGATGCCTGCGGTGCGAAGCCTTTGAACGCAAGGGGGTTGTAGGCCGACGAAGAATATGCAATACTATTTCCTCGACGGACTAATCCAGAGATTTGCCTCTCAAAACCACAGAATGATCTTGGGGTTGGATGCGTGTCTCGTTTAACAAACAGGTACAACTTCCCAAAAACGTTAGTTTTACAGCAGCAAACGTCAGATTCAGAGAGCTGCTCCTTCTAAAGGTACTTTTCACACCAACTACAAGGCGAGAAAATGTGTGCTTGCGATCAAGCTCGTTTTCTATTGTTTGGTTTGTCACGTCAAGTTGAAAAGCCGAGACCTACCGTGCAGCTGATTGATTGACAATCCAAATCTAACCCTCCCTGTTCTAGCAGGGAATGCACAATTTCCCGTAGTGTCAAGCTGACGGTGATTGGTTAGTTGTGCAGTGAGAAGTTCGGCGCCAGCTTGAATTGATTTACTGTCACGCAATGCGGTATAACTCCGAAACTAAACATTTATCTAATGATAACGAATTTTACGCACTCAATTTCACCTTGGCCATGTCTCATCGAATTGTGGTGAAACGTTTGCAAGCCAACTGTCAAGCTCCGCAAACAGATCAACCGCCACCTGACCAACCGATCTGTTTATTTCTTCGTGTCCTTACTTTATCCATTCGTTTCTACTGGGTAACATTTGCGAGTGGAGGTAGGTGTTGTGGACACCCGTTGTTGTTGACACCTATTCTTGTCCAACAAAGTTCACTTTTTCTGATTACCCCAAGCAATTATCTGACAATCAGGTTCGGTAAACAGACATCTCTCCCCGTTTAGCCTGTCGTAACAACGGGATTGTAGGTCGCACACATGCACACGCACCTGCGTCTCCAGCCGTTTGGAACTGGGCCAGGTTGAGATTATCGATTAGCTTATGTCGAACCCAGCGCAAATCGATATTTCAACCTAGAGGAATCTGGGCTGTTTGTGTGTGTGTGTGCCAACTTGTGTTTGTCGTGAGCGAGGACAGTGGACGTTGTTTTGAAAACAAGAGCTTTTTGACACATCTATCCATCACTGCGTTCTTCGTGAGGTTTTGTATTAGTGGGTACATTCGCTACGATTCCTAATTTCTTCTCCCATTGCAAACCAGAAAACAGCTGAGTTTTCTTAAGTAAATCGAATTGAATAGCATTCACTGCTAGACATAATCAGTCAATCTTATCTTCGTTGAACTGTTAACTCGCTAGTGTGATCAAGCTGAGTTTAACGGTGCTCAGTTTGCACACATAATCCACCTTGGATTTCATCCTCCCTTCAACGAACCTCCTTGTAAGACGCACTCTCTAGTGAGACATGTTTTGGGTCCCAATTGATCTTTAGTCCTTTACCTGCAACTTATATCCATCTTTAAACTCTGTGAGGGCCGCTATTTCTTTTTCGGGCTAAGTCAACCAACATTCACGGTACGGTTGGGTTTTTCATTCAGATTACTGCAACCAATCAAATGCTAGGGAACACAGCCGGACGACTAAGATACAAGCTAAGGAGATAAAGATAAACGATCACAGATAAAAAGATAACAGGAGTGCACACTTGTGTGTGATAAATTGCTTTCTCCCAAGTGCTTTTGACTCGGTTAGGTTGGAGTTCATGTTGCAAAGCTTTTGAGTGATAGTGTGTTGAAAACTCTAAAATTAATTTCGTGTTTTTACACCAGTAATCAACTCAAACCAGCTTGCCCTATATCATATGATTGTATTGAGCGCGGAATTATTGCAGAGAATTTCCTTTCAAAAGAATCACTACAGTTTTTACTAACTTCCCCGGTCGGGTACTCAGTCAGAAACTTCAAATACTGGTTAGATGCCTTACCTTTGATTCCCCAAGAAGTGAGATAGACCTCGGAAGCTCTGCGCTTTTCTGCTTCATTTGGTTTACCGTAGCACGCGACACTCTCCTTTAATGAGCTATTTCATTATCCCAGTTGGTCGAGAACTTAATTTATGCACCATTGACACTTGTAGCTTCATATCTGCTGAGTGAGCGCTACATTTGTCCAACTATCACTCACCGAGGGAAATCATGTTTTACATTCCAAATCTTTGTTGAGGGAAGGTTTGTGCAAGACAAGGCACGATAACAGCGTAAGGAAACGGTCACTGTCAGGCTGCTTGCATCGGGGTCTTCACACTTCCACGGCTGGTGTCCATAATTTTAAACTTTTGCTAGATGACATGAAGCTGATCCCATTGGGATTATCACTTCTTAGTGAAACTGCCTAGCTACAGTCTGCCGGCTGCTTGCTGTGTTTGTTTACGGGAGACCGTAGTTCGATCCCACCGGTGTCCCACATCAACGTCATGCTCAGAGTTGTATATTCCAACGCTGTTTGGAGGCCTGGATACTTTCAAGCCATAGTGTCGTCGAACTTTCTACAGTAAGTCCACCCCTGTCCCATCGATTTTCACCTTTAAGTAGGTCCTTCTTACTCCAAGATTGCATGGTAGTTAAGCATCAGTGTTTAATATGGGCTAATACTGTCCATGTCCATAGTAGTTCGTAAAACGGCATCTCCGGTAGCATACTGATGCTTTCACACCAATCTTTTGCGAAACTTCCACAACTAAATAGGAGTGTTCAGCCTGAACTACCAACATTTCATTCTTTTCACAGAAATCGGTGTCCCCTTGGTTCGGGTACAAGTCAAATGTGGAAAGGTTTCTAAAAGCAAACTCGGTTTGGAACCCTGTGTCGAAAGAAATCTTGCCTACCCTCGTCACTTTGATAAACCAGCGCCGTAGGCCCAGTATACCAGTGCACACTGATGATCTCTTCAATTCTGCTCGACCCGCTTGGGAACTTGAACGACTCCAACGTCTATTCGATCATGGAACTCTGTGTACAAACGCCACGGAAGATTCTACAGCACCTGATGCACAACCTACACTATCCACTTTCATGCGTTCACCAACCCGTCCGTTTCCTTCGGTAAATGCCGCTGAAATCACTCCCTCAGATAAACGCTACCCGGCGAATATTTCCACGCGTCCCTTCCCGATACCCCCTATCGCGAGTTCGGTGCGGCCCCATAGGAGTCGTTCACCTGCTTCCGATCGCTCTCACTATATTAATTCTCTGCCTACATCAATAGAAGAGGGATCTCCTGACTTTGAACGACCACTGTCAGACAGCACTACATCGGATCGCTTAAGTGATATTCAGTTAGCCTGTCGTCTGTTGGATAGATTCTCCCGTGTTGAAAGGTATGTAGATCTAGCTGTCTTGATTGAAATGTTCCATTTTGTGAATGTACATTAAAGTGCAGTTGAAGCATAGTTATCCGTTTTCTTATACATGCACGACGAAAGCGGCTCATATATGCAAACAGATTGGATAAAAGAACGGGACATTTCAAAACCTACTGTTACTGATAACTACCACGCTAGGATCAGGATATCAGATACTGTGATAGAGCAAAAGAAGAGAAATCGCAATAGGATGATGAACTTTCAGGGTTTGTTTGCCTTGTTTGAATACTCGTAGTTTTGCGTTTTCCTTAGTTTTCACGCGTTATCTTAAAAAAAGCATTCTGAATTTGACTCCTGATCATAATCCCACCCAATGTACCCAGTTACCGTCGCTCGCTATCCTTGGGCCCCAACTGAAGAAGAGGACTTCATCGGCAGTTACTAGGTCTGCCGTGAATTTCTTCATACGGCTACACCCGGTCATCGATTGTTCACCTTCTCCTCCAATAAGTACCAGAACTACTGGGCAGGCATTGCAACCACATGCTCGGGTCATGGAATACTGTTGTTCACCTGTGTGCTAGAAGTATTTAATCCCAGATGACCCGTACGTGCCACGCTAACGAGGTGCTGCTAGCGATGTTGCGGAAGCAATGCTTGTCGAAAGTGGTCGGTCTCAGAACACACTCGACGGGGAATGACCAGATACCTCAGCCAGTTAACGACACAGCTCGAAGTGTAGATCACCTTACAGAAATAGCTGGATGCCCCACTGACGCCTTAGGTGCTTTACGTTGGTCAAATTCGTCGTTACTATTGGAACCCTTGGTGATATGTGTTCTTCAGTGTCGTCACCAGCTGTCCAATTGTAAATTAAGGAAAACGGTGAATAGGCTAACTGCCTCAATCTGCTAAAGATGGCTAAGGCTTTCCGTGGATCTCAGCTATTCTCGTGGTTGGGCCTTCAGGATGGAAATTACCAATGAGGCCGCCAAAGGTCGCTCTGATATCCAGGGACGTCACATCCATAATCCTATGGTATGACGGCGTTCTATTGTTTGGCGCAGGGTGATATCACCCCTGTGCCCGCATCCAGGACAAAACCTGGCCTGTTCTCTTTGCATTCTTAAGTGGCGCCATATGGGTGGTCTTTACGAAAGGATAAAGTCCTTGAACCCTCAATGATCGGCAAACGCTTCTTTGAAATGGCAATGATTGTATGGTAGAGAAACTTGATGTTTGGTAGCATCTTTCAGGTCTTCTCTTGTGCGGCTGGGGTGAAATTAGTCAGGGAGCTCGAGGAGACTGAACCTTATCGTGTGTGTAGGGTAATGCTCTTCTGGGTTTGTCAACGTGGTACTCGTAGAGTCTCATACAAAGTTGGTCAGTAGAGGAAGATGCCAGGTTAACACGGTATGATAATTCTCCAAGTCAGGTTTTGGCACGTGTTTGGTAGAACTTTTGGCTGCTTTGGCAGCCTTACACCAACATCTGCCTTGCGATAAGGCTTTGTAGTCGAAGACTTTGGTTGAGGGTTCTAATCGTCCTCTTATTTAGGTCTGCGCGTCGTTGCACTATCTCATCCTATATACAGACTTGAGCTGTACAACTACCACTAACTTCATTGTGTGATACAGTCAGCCTTGTCGACTCAGTGCTTATAGCGTGGCAGGTGGTACTACCTCTTTTGTGTTCCATTTGACGATCGCTCTTCCGCATATATCAGCTAAATGCATGTCGCACTTTCATCCCAGGAAAGGATGTGGCTTCGCATGTCTCATTTTTTTGTTTTTGTCATGTACGGACAATCGGTCAACGGGCTGCCTCAGCGCGCACTCTCAGTGCTTTAACGACGAGCAATTACTGCGTTTCCGAGACCAGACACTGTTACCTACCAACTTCGGGCTGCTGGTGATGATGATGCTCTCAACTTCCAAGCTGGGGCTTCCTTATCTGATTAGTTCCCCGTGAAAAGCTCTTGCTTTGCTATTTCTTCATCAACTCTCATATGAATTCGCACTAGGCGAAATAATTCCACCATCTGTTTATAGTTTCTGTGCATGCATCAAATGATTGTAGATCTGGTTCGATGAAAGATATCTTAATCGAGAACTGACTACTCTCCTATCTATCATAAGAAATTCAGCTATATTACTGGTCGCACGCAGCCTCCGTGCACAAGTAGGACGCTTTGGTTTATCAGTAGTCCGTCTCGGTGGTTGATTCTCAGCTCCGGTCCGGAACGACTGCTTCGACCTTAATTTGGTCATAACGACTTCAGGAGTACTGGACGCTTGGTATCATCAAGTGAGACGCAAGTCCGAAAACATCATGAAGCAATTAGGCCAATTAGGGACTACATCTTCACTTGAGGCTAACTGTTTGAGCAACTGCATGATCTTCGCTGAATTACAGTGGTGGTTTTCCGAGATTTCGAAACAGCCTTCCACTCTCTGGAGGAATTTATTGTGTTTCTTGGCCGTTAGGTAGTGTCCTTGAACTCTGGGACTACTCTTTATTTGTTCCCACACTTCTGATTGTGTTAGGGCTTACAATCAGCTATCCTTTATTTCCAGAAAATTGGTGGGGTTCTTCTGAGTTACCCCATGATTCATTTTTGTCCTGACGTAAACAGTATCGCACTCCTAAGCATCGACATCACACCTGGAGTGAGATTTGAGCCCTCACAGACTGCTCTAGGTAGTGTATTGGAAGTGGTCCCTGATTTCGGAATGTGCTTTTCATCTTCAAAGTGCGAGTTCCTACCTAAGGATTTCTAATTCCCTTGTACCTCCTAAGACACAAATTAATGGCCTATTGATCATATAATTCGTGAGTGTTTTTTGACTTGAACTCAATGCATGCGTCCTCAAGGTACGAATAGCATTCGGCAACTTGTCGGAAAAGGATAACACTGAGTTCAAAGGAGCGTGTCTACAAAACGACCGCGATGGGTATCCTGCTCTATGCCTGTGAAACCTGATCTTTTTGATGTGAAGGCGTCAAACGCCTTCGAATATCTCATCACCGATGGCTTCGCAACATGGTTATGTTCACAATGAATTGGGCATCAAGTCAGTATCATCTAATTGTCGGATTCGCTAGAGCAACAGGCAGTGCTTGTCACTTTAGTGTAATTGGGGCCCTCAATACGCATTTCCGATCATCGTCTATCAATAAATTTATTTTCCACCGCAAACCCTTGTTGACGAATGGTTTGCGGAGTACAGACCGGGATGTGGCAATGTGAATTGAAATTTTCCGCCGTTAACTTCAGTGCTGGATGCGCCTCAGGTGATTCATCTTGCACATGGTTTGAAAACCTACAGGATGTGGTGCATAGCCGATCCAAGTTGCTAACTGACTGTCACTACCTAACCGAACTAGCCAAAGTTCCTCTGTCGCTTTGTATATAGTTCTCAAAGGATGCTGGGCCAACCGTTCTGATAGTTTCTTGCTCCAATATGATACTCGGATGTTTTTCAATGGTCCTGGAAGGTGTATAGGCGTTTAATCATTTTCTGTGGGAACATAGGACTTTTCCCAACAAATCCTTACCCCTTTCTTTTCCTTATTTATTGGTGACTTCACCATGCTTGTATGGCAGCTAAGCACCAATTTTCGTGACACCCTAATATTATGATTCAGGGACTCAAACCAAATGAGTAGCTGGAGAGGTTGACACTTGACAAATTGGACTACGACTAGAAGTAGTCATCCTGTCTTCCAAACAATGCTGGTTGCTGCAAATCTGAGCGCTATCTGCTTGGCAGAATCATCTGGCGCCGGCAGCACGCATGAAATGAAATATCTTACTTGAGTCCCCGAAGGGGGGTTGGTTCCGTTTTGACAGCGCATTCAGCCCACCATATTTTGTAAGCTGGTCGACGACCAGTCATAAACCCAAGCTCCATGAAAGGCACACTCATGTGAGCGGTTAGCGAGAATCCAAAGTCCGAACTGAGGTTGTCATTGTCCAGTAGGTTGCTGAAAACAACCGAGTGTAAAGCACATTATCCGATGTAAGAAGCATTTGAGATTATCAAGTTAGCTAGCCTGTTCCTCTTGATAACACTTGCGAATACTTGGTCCTATCACTTTTTATCCAGCGGTCCGTCGTTTGCTTGGTGGGATTTCAAGAGACGGAGTGGTAGCCCTACAGGCTAATGGATGGTCAGAATCAAGACAGCTAGCTAAATGAATAGGAGCGACAGTCTGGTACTTCCTAGCCAACGACTGGGTCCCCGACCGCCTAGCACCTGCACCAAATTAACCTCCTAAATTTGCATTATTTGAGAGGAGACAGCCAGCCCTCCAACTCAGATCTTCAGCTGGCGGCACTACTTGTCTTTGGGGTTTATCTACCATGTGTTCATTCACTGAAAAAAGCTTCCTTTGCAGCAGTTTGTTCGTGCATGTGTATACAACAAATGGGTCACGGTCCTCCTCCCCAGTTTCTTTATTTTACAGAAAATGACCATGATGTCCACCGTAAGTGGGGAAGCAACTTGGTGACGCTGTTTCAGTTCAGTTAAGACCGTTATCGGCACCTGCTTGTCTCACTGCAAATGATTACAGATCTATAGAAAAGACGCATGGTGTGTTTTGTTGGAGCGAGATGGGGGAGTTGACCGCCTAAATTCGCGTCTCCTGCAGTCAACATATAGCTGTGACTATGATGTCTTTCCTAAACGCACGAACGTTAAATATGGCCATTTTGAAGATTTGGGTATTGAGCAGTTTGCATACTCAGTGACATCTATGGGTAGCACTGAGGCAGTAGGATCTCAGCTTGTTCCAGAGTAATGATAAAATTTGTAGAATGGAGCAGTGAACTCGGAGGTATTTGAAAGTCGGTTTTGGGGGTGTTTAGTTTGATGTAGTCTAGCTCAATTAGACCATTCCTGTTAGGACAAAAACGGTTGATTGGTTCCGTGGTGTGTTTTTGAGACGTACGCCACCGGGCTAGTAGTTTGTTCGGCCACGAGCGACTGATTAGGAGTATAATTAACGCA